TGTATGAGAATAAGTAGCTGTGTGAGTATGTCTGTATGACATTGAATGTGTTTCAGTGTGTGTATGTTTCTCGTAATGTATATTTCTTTTTTTTTATTTCAAGTATGTAAAGAAGTAACAATGGTACATAAATAACAATGGTTGTACAATCACAATTCCAAGTGCAGGGTTACATTTATAGCGATTTGTTGCATAGAACAGTTATGGAAACAATAATAGTTAAAGGACCACTCTAGGCACCCAGACCACTTCAGCCTAATGAAGTGGTCTGGGTGCCTGGTCCAGCTAGGGTTAACCCATTTTTTTATAAACATAGCAGTTTCAGAGAAACTGCTATATTTATAAATAGGTTAATCCAGCCTCTAAAGCATTTAGTGGCTGTCTCATTGACAGCCGCTAGAGGCGTTTGCGTGCTTCTCACTGTGAAAATCACAGTGAGAAGACGCAAGCGTCCATGAGAAAGCATTATGAATGCTTTCCTATGAGACTGGCTGAATGCGCGCGCAGCTCCTGCCGCGCATGCGCATTCGGCTGAAGAGGAGGAGAAGAGGCGGAGAGGAGGAGGAGAGCTCCCCACCCAGCACTGGAGAAAGGTAAGATTTTAACCCCTTCCTCTCCCCAGAGCCCGGCGGGAGGGGGACCCTGAGGGTGGGGGCACCCTCAGGGCTCTATAGTGCCAAGAAAAAGAGTATGTTTTCCTGGCGTTATAGTGGTCCTTTAAGGTAAGATCATCTAATTTTTATAACAATCTAATTTGAATATCACAGATGAGAAAACGGTTATCGGTTACATGTCGGTAGCGTGAGGATGGTTGGGATATTTCAACAGTTGTATAGGTAAGTTAGTCACAAAAGACATATTATATATTTGAGAGCATAAACCTGTTCCAGGGCTCCCAGGTTTTAGAAAAACTATCAAATCTCTTGGATCTGGCATAGGTTAGCTCCTCCATTTGTTTAATTGTTTCCAATTGATGGGGGGGGGGGGGATTGGTGTGCTTCCAGTATTTATGTATAAGTTGTGTGGAAGCCATGATTAGATTTGTTAACAAGGATCTGGCTGGTTTTTTTTTTTCATGGCAGGTGGGGTTATCAGGAAGATAAACAACTCTGGTGTGAAAGGGATTTGAGTTTTAATGATGGATTGGATTATGGTGTGTATCCTCCTCCAAAATTTCTCTATTGCTGAACATTGCCACCAGATGTGAGCGTGGTGTGCATTGGGTTGTGAGCATCTCCAGCAGGTGTTATCTGGAGTTTTATGTATCTTGTGTATTTTCTGGGGAGTTAGGTGCCAGCGAGTAATTCTTTTGTAATTACTTCTTGGGAAAGCGTTGAAGTAGATGCTTTGTGGGTTGTGGTAAATATGGACCTCCACTGTTGGTGTGAAAGATCAATTTGGAGTTCCTCTAACCACTTTGTTGTGAGGTTGGGGAGCGATAGGGTTTGTAATTCCTGTAATAATTTGTACATGGTGGAGAGGACTTTGTTCAGTATAGGATGGCTAGAGCATAATACCTCAAATTTCGTTAGGTCTCTGTCACCCCTGGGCATTAGTTGGTTGGTTTGGATGAAATGTAGAAGTTGTCTGTAGTGTAGGTGTTGATTACCTGTAATATTCGTGTTGGGCCAGAGTTGTGTTATTTGTTTAACCTTATGGTTCTGTACTAGGTCTATGAGCTTAATATCTTCCTCCTCTTTATAGGAATGGAAAATTTTCCCAGCGTTTCCTCCCAAGAAGGAAGGATTGTTGGTGATAGGGTATAGTGGGTGTAATGTATATTTCTAAGTCTGTGTATGTGTCTGTGAGTATCTCTCTATATAATAATGTGATTATGTGTGTTTCCATTTGTGTTGGCAAATATTAACCACTATATTCCCAAGTTTGATGTCTGCCTGGGAATCCTCTGATAGAATTTGATTGGTTACCATTTAACCAACCATGAATTTATGTATTACAAAAGATAGGTTTGTCTACTGACCTAAGAAATTATTTGGACATTACATCATCCTAAATCAACTATCACACATCAAAAGGGGCTGCTGGTATGTAATGTACATATTGGATATACATATGTGTACATATGTTGTATGTAACATACATATGTATACACTGATCAGCCACAACATTAAAACCATTTTCCTAATATCTTTTGGGTCCACCTCATGCTGCCAAAACAACTGATGCGTCAAGGCATGGACTCCAAAAGACCTCTCAACTTGTTTAGAGGTATCTTGTTGCAAGACATTAGAAGCAGATCATTTAAGTCCTGCAAGTTGAAAGGTGGAGCCTCCATAGATCAGATTTGTTGTTCCAGCACATACCATAGATGCACAATCAGATTGAGATATGGGAAATTTGGAGGCCAAGGCTACACCTTGAACTTTATCATGTTCCTCAAACCATTCCTGAACAATTTGTGCAGTATGGCAGGAAGCATTATCCTGCTGAAAGAGGCCACTGCCATCAAGGAACACCATTCCCATCAAGGGGTGTTTGTGGTCTGCAACAATCTCTAGGTAGGTGGTATGTGTCAAAGTAACATCTACATGAATGCCAGGACCCCAAACATTGCCCAGTACATAACACGGACTCCACTGGCCTGCCTTCTTCCCATGGTAAATACTGTTGCCATTTCTTCCCCAGGTAAACAATGCACATACCTGCAGCCATCAATCTGATCTAAAACAAATCATGATTAGAGTTGAGCGAACCCGGACTGTAAAGTTCGGGTTCGTACCGAACATTAAGTTTTTTGGACCCCGGACCCAAACATGGACATATCAGTAAACAAACGGAATGGAGGAGGGGAAGGCACTAGCACTAGTAATATCTATACACAATATTTTATGGGTGTATCTATAGAGAGGCCGTTTGAGATAACAAAATGAACGTATCAAAAAAGAAAAGAAAAAAATGGCATTAAACCAGAGATTAATGGAGGCAGGGATATGTATAGTGTCTGGTAGCAGTTATGGAGTCCAAAAGGGAGCAAAAAAGTATAGTCACTAGTACGGGCACAAATGTATGGAGGGGATGTAGTAGATACTCATTTAAAACAAGGAGTACACCTGGGGCGGAACCAGCCTCGCCCCTGGGCATTGGAGAAGACTGATTGCCGGCCTCCTGCCCTGTGACTATGGCCCCATGTTGAAAGGATGGATTTTCCCCTGCAAAGACCCAAAAGCTGGGTCTTTCGGTACTTTCCCTATGTGAGCAGTGTTACCCAGATAGCTATGCCATGGAGCCCATTTGTATAATGAAAGACTATGGGAAAGACTTTGGCTCCATGGCAATTGAACTGTATGTGTGTGCTCTGAGCGCCATTCAGTAATAATGTGCGCTCAGATCTGAGCTATCTGGGGATATGTTGAATGTACCTGTTTTGTGCAATGGCTGCACAGTTATATGTTTTTATGTGTTTTATTGTCTTTTGCTGCCATGTGGCTAATGGAGTTTTGCCTCTGTCCGGGAGATAATTGGATTACGCACGCACATGAGCTCTTATTAGTGTAGGGAGAGGATGCTGCAGCTGTGAGGGACAGATTAGGAAAGAATTCTGGTGTTGAATCTGCAAACTACAGCGATTATTCAAACTACAGTTATTTTTGTGGGTGCTATAATACTATATTTTTGTACCCTGCCCTGAGCCCAGTGGCACAGAGTGCAGTCCAATAAAACCCTTAAATACTACTGTTACATTGTTGGTTTAAAAAAATCTAACTTTTTGGTGCTAAATACTACATTTGCGGCCTGCGGTGCACTTCATATCTGAGAGTCAAATAGAACCGTCAAATACTGTGCTTACATTGCAGTTTTAAACATTCAAATTCTTTCGGTGCTAAAAAGTCAATTTGGTGCCTGCAGTTCATATCTGAGAGTCAAAAAGAACCGTCAAATACTGTGCTTACAGCGCATTTTTAAACATTCTAATTCTTTAGGTGCTAAAAAGTCAATTTGGTGCCTGCACTTTATATCTGAGAGTCAAATAGAACCATCAAATACTGTGCTTACATTGCAGTTTTAAACATTCAAATTCTTTAGGTGCTAAAAAGTCAATTTGAGGCATGCACTTCATATCTGAGAGTCAAATAGAACCGTCAAATACTGCTGTGACATAGCAGTTTTAAACATTAAAAAAATTTTGCTGCTAAATAGTACATTTGCAGCCTGCGGTGCACTTCATATCTGAGAGTCAAATAGAACCGTCAAATACTGTGCTTAGAGCGCATTTTTAAACATTCAAATTCTTTAGGTGCTAAAAAGTCAGTTTTGGTGCCTGCACTTCATATCTGGTGTATGTGTGCAACACTTGCTACGGTAGTTACCGCTTCTCAAGAAAGTCTAAAGACTTTTTAAAAAAGTGAAAAATAAGTGTTATTGTGATCGCTTCATTTACAGAAGCATTAATATACATTTTTATATTGTGTAAAGACACAACTACAAAGTTAAAAACCAAACACCAAAACAATGTGGAATGAAGGTCATGCGAGTGACGTGTGCAGTTTGGAGGAAGATGTGCTGGTCGCACAGAGGCACCAGCATAGCAAAAGAGGGAGCAAGGGTGCAAAAGCGGAGCATCCATTCCCTAGCGCTCGTCGGCATGTATTAGAATTCCCACAGTTATCCAAGTAACAGATGGAGCGATAATAGGAACCATAACAGATTTAACGAGCCATTCGAGCCATTCGCAGGACGACCGGGACCCAGTATGCCTAATATTGAAGTTAGGAGTCACAGTGTGGAATGGATTAGCAGGGTCTGGTGCAGGGTAACCGCACGCCCCCTGGTGTAGAGCACCAGTATTTGTGCGGCCACATACCAGGACCCTGATGCAGCTTCAGCCAGCAGCAGCAGGCAATAGTGGAGTTTCAGCTGCAGCACGCACGGGTCAGTCGCTCTGCACCAGACTTGCCCTCCAATTGATCCAAGTTAAAGGATTTAAAGTGGACTCATTACAATTACAGGGCCTCGAAAGAGTAGTGTATTGTTATTTGTCGTCACTACCTCCCAGCGTCGGGAGTGGGTAATTACATGTGGTAGCCGTTTCTCAGGCACCCTCTCTGGAATCAAACCCTGATTCCCCGTTACCCGTGGTCACCATGGTAGGCGCGGAAAATTGCATCGAAAGTTGATAGGGCAGACATCCGAATGTGTTGTCGCCGTCACAGGGACGTGCGATCGGCACGAGGTTATCACAGGCAAGCGCAGCCGCCTGTCCACGGCCAACGTGGACAAGCTCACATTTATTAAAATGAACCAGGCATGGATCCCACCAAACTTGTCTGTACCTTGTGCAGAATAGACATTTATACCGGCCTCACCCAGCCATTGTTATACTCAAGTGCACTTATTTTTTTTTTTTTATATGTCCCAATATTTTGGGGGCTACCCCAATTAAAAAATAATAAAATTAAAAAACAGTGTTGGCTACCTCTTCCACCTCCACCGCCGCCGCTTCCACCTACACCACCGTGGTGTATACCCATATATATATGAGCTGCTGCAGAAAGTGCAGGCCAACTGTGGCGCTTTTGGCGTTCTCACCCTGCTGCTGCTCGCCTGTCTGCGCTGCAGCGTAACTTCAGCCTTCCCGCTCACCGCCTCATAAGCGACATGCCCACAAGGTGGAATTCCACCTTGCACATGCTGGAGAGACTGTGCGAGCAGCAGCAGGAGATAGCGGAGTTTCAGCTGCAGCATGCACGGGTCAGTCGCTCTGCGGAACAGCACCACTTCACCACCAATGAGTGGGCCTCCATGCGAGACCTGTGTGCCATGTTGCGCTGTTTCGAGGACTCCACTAACATGGCCAGTTGTTCTCAGCCTTACTAACCCGCTTCTATGTCTCCTTGAAAAAACGCTTTGGGCGATGATGGAAAAGGATGTGGCATAGGAGGAGGGGTCATTTCCACGGTTTTCAGGCCAGTCATTCACAAGTGGCTCGGAGGGTGGATTCCTGCACCTGCATAGGCCAGGTACACAATTGTACAGCATCTCCACACTGTCCCATGGAAGTGTTCAGCTGTCCATCTACCAAACACTGGAGAGAAAAAGTAAGTACCCCCCTACCCACCCGCAATCCCTGGCCCTGAATGCCAGCATTTCAAAATTCCTGTCCTTTGAAATGCTGTCATTCCGTCTGGTGGAGACGGACAGTTTTAAAAACCTGATGGCGTTATTGGACGGCAAGAAATGCACCACAGGCCACAAATGTTTCTTTTTTTCTATGTCCCAATATTTTGGGGGCTACCAAAACTAAAATAAAAAAAAATATATATATATATATATATATATATATATATATATATATATATATAAACAGTGTTGGCTACCTCCTCCTCCACTGCCGCTTCCACCTACACCACCACAGTCACCACCTCCTCAACCTATGGGTCACTTAGTATAAACTATGTACACAATAGAGGCTTGTGAAGGCCTTTTCTCCATGCATCAGGAGTTGAGCTCAGTTTGAACAATGAAAGAGAATACTCTGCACTCCAACCCTCTCTCAAATGGATAATTCTGTTGATCCTCCTGACAGCCATGCTTTAGATTTTGATTTATGTTCTTCCAAAGCTAAAATCAAAGATTACATCTAGTGCTATTTTATGGCTCAGCTGTATTTTTAATTTGTATGTATTTTATGTTATTTTAAGTGATTTCCCTATCCACATTTGTTTGCAGGGCACTTGTCCTACTCTTACCCCCATTTTACTTCCTTTTGTAGCCCTTTCCAGGACTTTTTAAGAGCCATTTTAGTGCCCAAAAGTTCGGATTCTCATCGACTTCAATGAGGTTCAGGGTCAAGTTCGAGCCCGGACCCAGACCCGGACTTTTTTCCGAAGTTCAGCCGAACCCGCTGAACCCAAACAACCAGGTGTCCGCTCAACTCTAATCATGATTCATCAGTCTAGGTAACCTTCTTCGACTGCTCCATGTTCAAGTTCTGATGTTCTTGTCCTCATTGAAGGTGCTTTAGTCAGTCGACAAGGGTCATCATGGGTACTCTGCTCTGTATGGGGTTGCACAGCCGCAGACCAGTCACACTGTGTTTTATTGTGTTCTGGCACCTTTTTATTAGAGATGCTCTGAAATTTCGAAAAAGGGTCAGGTCTGCCAAAAATAGGGCAGAGCAACTTGTCTTGTGTATAGATTTCGTCCTGCAGACAGTTTAAAACAGATGTAAATTAGTCAGAGTGGGGGAAGGGTGTGACTCACCCCAACACATGCAAATCACATTGCTCAGGACAGTGAGACTGATAACCTGTTCAATGCCATGGATGGAATCACAACTTTCAGTCTGTTTATTTAAAAAAAAAAAAAATCTCTCTCATGCCACAGTATTCTTACTTTTGAATTGCCTGTATTTGCTGTTGTGGCATCCCAATGTTGGGTCCAATGGTGGCTTGCCCTGTCTGCCCGGGGAGAGAGCCAGTTCAGTCTGCAGCTATGCAGAGTGTGAGCTGCAGACTGTGCTGTATCTCGTAATCTCTGGTCAATCAGAGCGTTGCCGCGGGTTACCATGGCAATGCTCTGACTTCTGGATATCGTGAGATACAGCAGAATCTGCAGCTCATACCCGGCAGAGCTGCAGACTGGAGAGACAGCCCACCGGACCACCAGGGAAAGAAAAAAAAAGGTATTTCTAAACCCCTCATTCAGTCACCCCTCCCTTAGTCACTCTGTCCCCCCATCTCAGTTACTGTCACAAGTCACCCCCTCCCTCAGTCACTCTCATTAGTCACCCCCCTCCCTCCCTCTGCCACCAGTCACCCCATCCCTCAGTCACTATCACCCCCTCCCTCCCACATTCTGCCACTAGGCACCCCTTCCCTTACTATGTCGACCCCTTACTCTGCCACCAGTCACCCTCTCCCTCACTGCCACCCCCTCCTTCCCTCACTCTGCCACCTGTCACTCCCTCTCCCACGCTCTGTCACCCCCTCTCACGTTCTGCCATCCCTATCCCACCCCACACTATATGTCCTACCCATATTACATCCCTATCACCCCACACTATGTGCCCTACACCCCTATCACACTCTACACTATGTGCCATACACACACTACATCCCTAGCCCACCCCACACTATGTGCCTAACACACTCTACATAACCTACAAACATACAAACTACATCCCTATCCCACACCACAGTGTTCCCTACACATGCTACATCTCTATACTGCACCACACCATGTTCCCTACACACACTACATAACCTAAACAAATAATTTGGGGGAAAAAGTCATTTTCGGTTGCGGTTTTCGACCAAGAGCATCCTGAATTTTCGGTTTCCGACCAGAATTTTCATTTTGGTGCATCCCTACTTCATATCCGATCATAGCCAGCATTATGTTTTTCAGCAATTTGAGCTACAGTATCCTCTGTTATGATACAGGTATTAGCATTAACTGTCTAAGGATCCATGTTTCTGCCATATCCACTGTGCGACATTCCAGGTGGGCACTAAATCCTTTGGGTTCCAAATTTCTGTCACAAGTTAAAAGGATGGACTCTTCTGCTAGTCCTCAGATTTTTGACTAAGGCATCTTTTGAGCCACTTCAGGATGCTTCAGAACAGGATTGGCATACCATAGGTGCCTCAAAGCATCATTTATATATTTGGGCAGAAGCAAAAGATGGAAAAATCTTGCCCATTTGTCATTCAATCTGGCTCACATAAGGTCAAGCGAATTCTATTGCTACTCTTCTTTTCTGTGTTGTCAAGGACATGTTTAAGGCTCGTGAGGTCCATGATCTTCCAATTACTTATCAAGGGGTTCACCTTCATCAGCAGCTGCAGCTAATACCCCTCGAGAGAGAGAGAGAGCATTTGTAGAGTGTCAACTTGAGCTTTGACCAACATGTCTATTAAGCATTATGGCTTGGACATCAGAGCCTCGAATTTCTACCATTAGTCCTTCAGTATCTTCTCAATAAAGTATTTTGTACTTTATTATTTTCTTTGCTTCATGTAATTAAGCTTCCTGGTTTTTTTTTGCGTGGGTATTACCCAATGGAGGTGCTGACGTAGATTGTCCAGGAAAGAAAAAACTGAATTCTTTCTTACCGTAAATTATCTTTACTGGATGTATCGATGGCAGCATGGGTCTCCCCTCCCCCTTTTTAGTATTTTTCAACATGGTTTCTTGGCCTTCAGGAGTTTAGAAGTAAACAGAGGATATGCTGATTAGGGAGTTTAAAGTTCCAATGTCCTGTTTTTAAGAGTTAAGTGGGCTAAGCAAACCCTTTGCAAAGGCTATGGATAGAACTATCAAAAATACGTATTAATTACATTTTCTGGATGTTTTGTAAAGCTGATAATCCATTTGTGTTGAGCAGAATTTGTTCTTGAGTTTGTCGCCTGCCTAGACATTCCTTTTAATATCATAAGTATTTTTGATGGCCTATATTTAGGTTTATATAGCAATTTCTCTACCATTTTAAAATGCCTATTAATGAGCACCTCTGACAATTACAGTATATACTCTAGTATAAGTCTAGTTTTTCAGCACATTTTTTGTGCTTAAAAACCCCCACTCGACTTATACTCGAGTCACTGTCTGTATTATGGCAACTTAGAGAGCCGCGGCCATCAGAGCCATGGCAACGATCCCGCGGCAACCAGACCGCGAGACTTACAGTGGAGCTGACTGGAACGGAGGAGAAGGGAGCTGACAGGAGCTGCAGGAAAGGTAAGTAAATGCTTCCTGCCAGCCCCCCCACTTCACAGCCCATGCCACTAGACCACCAGGGATTAAGATAGCCCCCCTCCCTGACCAGTTAACAAGCAGGGAGGGGAGACAAAAAAAAATAATAATAATAATATTAAAAAAAAAAAATTTAAATAATAAAAATGCCCTCCCCCCACCCAGTTCACACACACTACACAAATACACACTCTGCATTATATACACACTCTGCATTATATACACAGAGTGTGTGTATATAATGCAGAGTGTGTGTTTGTATGAGTGTGTGTGTTTGTATGAGTGTGTGTTTATAATGCAGAGTGTGTGTTTGTATGAGTGTGTGTGTGTGTATAATGCAGAGTGTGTGTTTGTATAAGTGTGTATGTTTAATGCAGAGTGTGTGTTTGTATGAGTGTGTGTGTATATAATTATAAAAATCACAGAATTTCATAGCCCCAAGTTTTACCCTCGACTTATCCACGAGGCATAGCATATTTCACAATTGTTGGTCACAAAACTGCACTCGACTTATACATGAGATCGACTTATACACGAGTATATACGGTACTCTGCCTATTTTTCCTTGAACAGAGAATTAGAATTTCACTTTGAATTCCCTGTGTGTCTCTAGTCATAATAGGTTGGCGTGAATGTTCATAATCACAATCAAACCTTAATTTGGTTTTATCCAGTTTGCATATGTTAATTTTATGAAAACTGGTGTATTTGAAATCAAATGTATTTTACAGCAATTTATTTTGTGTTTTTATTTATATAAATTATGTTTAATTTAAGAATTTTTTTGCCTTCCTAAAACTCTTATACTTCCTTTACTTGAGATCAACATATAGACTTGTCAAATACCCTTGTTCATATTAATAATGCACTTAAAGCATGAATAATAGCAAATGATAAACAATACAACATTTTTGCTCAAGTTTAACCCCTTAAGGACACATGATGGAAATATTCCGTCATGATTCCCTTTTATGCCAGAAGTTGTGTCATTAAGGGGTTAAATGCTCTAAATCTTTAATAGTTTCATGTATGTAGTCTGGGGTTTTGATTTTCTGTATACTGACAGCAATTCAGTACCGAATAAAAATAAAATAAAAAAAATCACACACATATATCAGTTGTATAGTTAAGTTTTGTTTGTATATTAACTCATTATCAGGGATATTTAGCAAAGCAAGACTTCAAAGTGAATCTCAAACGTAAGGCCAAAATAGCCAAACTGGAAGCAAATTTGACTTGGAAGATATTTCCTGTTCAAGTATTTTAGTCTTAAAGGGACACTATAGTCACCAGAACCCCTACAGCTCTGCATGCTTTTTAATATAAACATTGCTTTTTCAGAGAAAAGGCAGTGTTTGAGTGACTGCCACAAGGTGTTACTAGACAGTATTGTCACTGAATTTTCACTTTTTAAAATAACCCTGTTTGTACACAAATGGGTGTTGCTAAATCCTAGAATTACCCAAGTGATCTGATTTCTATTCATCCATTTATTGTTCTATTTCATTAACTGAAGATTATTTTTATTTTACTATACATGGCTGTTTCTTCAGTTTCTGAACATTCACATTTTTTACGGTTACAATTTAAACTTTCTCCATCTGAGTCAAGTTACTACTACCTACCTCATTATTTTGATGTTGATAACTTTCATATGTACCTAGGGAATTTATTTTTGCAACAATAATTGCTGCAACTGTTTTGAATCTTAGTTACCACCAAAATTAAATAACAAAAACAAGTTATAACACAAAACCATGATGAAAACAGAGAAAGAAGCATGTAACAATGATTCTTTTTATTTTATAATTGATTTAAGACATGTTGCCAGGCACTCCTTTAAATTGAAAGATAAAGCAGAATCATAACAAAGTCATAAAAATATATTAAACATAAAACTGAACTGACATTCTGGCTGTTACAGTTCTGGGAAATAAGTACATTTAACAACAAAAGGCAGCTTGTGACCAAACCTAATGTGACTGCCGTGCAGTTTATTTTAATTATACTTCCCATGTGTTTTATGGCGGTCTTCAAAAAAGACTAGGTTTGAGTGATACAGTACTGACCATTCCTACATATCCGGTGAGACTTAAAATTGCCTTCTTTGCAGAAAAATGAAAATTTTTTACCATCAACATTTGTATTTTAGTATGTCCTTTTCATAGTATAGTAACTAATCAATCATTCACTATCGAGGAGTGCAGAATAGAATCTGATTGCTCTTATGGGATTTTAGAAGTGGTAGTAATATTTCTGCCGGTTACCATGCAGTTGGGACACAATGTATTCAAACTGCTTATATCAGCAGCATCTACTTCCACACATTATTACAGTGGATGATAAATGTATAAAAGCAAGCAATACAAGATATTGGAATTTCTAACTAAACTCAGAAAATGAGAAGTATAAATTGACCTTTGATTTATGTGAAAAGGGAGAAAAATGTGTACGCAAAAGTAATAAAATAGTAAAAATAGACCAGTGTGATTGATATAGATGTGACTGACTAGGGTGTTTGTATGTATGTATATATATATATATATATATATATATATATATATATATATATATATATACACACACACACACACACACACACACACACTATATATACACACACATGCATACATACACATGTGTTTTTATGTATGTATGTGTATATAAATGGGATGGATGAGGGACATACAATACCTCTCTATCCTATCACAAAAAGAAAACAGGAGAATTATCTACTAAATACCGTACTCAACTGATAGCAAAGAGCTACCATTCACCGTTCCGATAACAGACTGCAATATTCAACTATTATGCTAAAAATTTTCTTTAGTTAAATATTGCAGGACATTAAAATATTTAAGAAAGAAAAATATATTTAAAGAAATATTAAGAGAAAAACAATAACTCTTAGCTAGTCAATTTGCTAAGAAACCTATATACAGAAAGAAATGTAGTGTTATATTATTTTGACTTTGTTTAGCTTTACGGTTATTCAGTTGGGATAGCAGCAATAGTGCCATGAGGGTCTGTCATCATGGTAGACGCTTGTAACCACTAACATGCAGCCACACCCTAGAAACAGTGGTATGCAATTCACATAATCTGGGGGCAGCATGGCTGTGAGCGCAGCAATTCCATATGCACTTAGAATAGATTCGAAAATGATGCAGGGTCCAGAGATATCTATGCAGGAAGACCAATGAATGTGTGATAAATGATTACATTTCAACTGATCCACTCATTCATTCTTTTATAGGCCACGTAACAAGCATAATGCATAGATAAACTAATCAGAAAATTTAAATAATTTGCCCACTCACTACAACTCACAGATAAGTGAATAAGCCAATAAATGTTTTGATAATCCACTTGCAAAATGTTGATATATAGATGATATCCAATTTAGTCACATTAAAATCATCTTCTGAAAGATAATTTATTATTTTGTTGATTTTCCTTCCAGAGAAAAAGCTTTATCCTGAATATTCATTTACAAAAATCTATAGCATGGAATAATCATGCGACTCTGATGAAGGTCCACAGAGGCAGTATATTCCAGCATCCCACTGTAATGAATAAGGACTTAACAGCAATTACTTTTTACAGTTAACAAAGCCTCTTAGAAAAGAGCCTACATAACAACTGTAATAAATAAAATGAAAAGCACAATACAGTTGAATACTGAAGAATATTCTCATGTAACATAAACTGATAATCAACCCTTTAAGCTACCAGAATTGTGTTGTCAGGTTTCATTAATGAAGAGTTGTATTTAATATACTAAAATCACTTTAAGTCACGATTTGAGGTTATCTTTAAAATTCAGCTCCAGACATCTTGCAAATACCGCTTATGTTCTCTTAATACGGCAAGGGTTTTCATTGCTTCTAGTTTGTCAACACCAAGCTCCAAGCTTAATATATCAGCTAAAGCTTCATTCACATCTTTGGCCATATTTTTAGCATCTCTAGAGGAAAGAAACATAATTGAATCATTAGAAGCAAAAATCAATAATGACTGCTTTCAGGTACAATTTACCCCCTGACAAATGCTCCTTATAATATCTAAGTCAAATGTTTATTTGCTTTACTATATGTACATTTTTAGGACATAACTCTCTGCAAACAGAAAATATATACATGTCAAATACAAATTAGGCAAAAAAGTATGGTTACATTTTTAAATGTGAATTGCTTGGTAGACAATCACATGGCATTAAAATAGTTTACAAATGTCAAAGCGTGTGTACTGACATCTTCTTAAAAAAAACAAAATATCCCCCTGCCCCCAAACTCACCCACAAACGAAGAGGTGACCATTTTCCTTTGTCAGGATTCTCACAATATCTTGGGAGCATATTTTAAGAAGGTCCTGAACATACCGTGGAGTTAATTCGTCAGTGCTGCCATGAGAATCTCTAGAGAAGCATACTTTTAGGCAAGTTAACACGCCATTCTCAACGAAATTACTTAGCTCTTCTCTAAAAGCAGAAAAATTGTATGTTAGTGCAACAACTTAAACCAGCAACTCTTTATTGACATTAAAAAAAAACATGAAATTTAACAATAGTGTGAATAATAATGTGGTCAGTCAAAATGTGGCAAGGGTATGTAGACAATCAAAATGACTCAACTGCATAAAAGAAAGGAAAATCAAATACCAAAATATATGGAGTTACAAAATTGAGTGGGCAGCCAGTCATTGTCTCAGAGTATCAGCTGATGCTCTCAGCCTATCACCCATTCTCTGCCGCATTACCCACAGCAGCAAAGAAGAGGAGGCAGATGGACACTACTTTTGTGTTAAACCGTTCAAAATCAGTTTAACACTAAAATGTAACAAGCTGACAGGAAACACGGGCAACCCAGAATGCTCTTTTAACGGTTTAATATTGGAAGCATGCATAGCAAGGAATATAAGAAGGAAAAGCTAGTTGGGAACTGTAACGGATCGCCTGGCACCCCGACTGGGTACCTCCGTTAAAGGATGCTCCTAGCGCTTCCTGAGGACTCCAAGCACTGCAGCAGACACCACAACCACCGAACCGGAGAAGCATATGAATCCTCTCAAGCATATGAATGCTGTAGACAGTTGAATAGGAACCATACGAATAGGTTTACTCTCCTAGCAGTCAAACGGGAACAGCATACAATAAATCCTTCCCCCAATAATGAGACGACACTTCACTTTGAGGGTTAAGCAGGAACTCCCTGTACTGTCACATACAGTCTCTTTTATTCCCAATCCACAAACATAGTACAGCCCACAGGGCGTTACAAAACAACCAATCAATATGTACAATACACCCAGACACTCCCACACAAAATCCTCCCCTCTGGCTGTGATATGATTACTGAACACAATGGGTAATCTCATTATCACCGGTAGAGGAATACAGTTTTTACACAGTATTTATAACTTCTAAAATATATATGTCACAAACATAAAACATACATTTTCATAATCAATCCATTCAGGGGAACAACATATTAAAAAATGGCACGAATCAGACCAGGGGTTCAAAAGTTAAGGGAAAGTCCTTTGTGACTAAATGAAGCATGGTTTTTCTGCCCAAAACCAGTTCCACAGAGTCTTCTATAGTGGAGATAACTGAGAAGTAATTCAATTATCTCCAAGGACAGAGGCAAAACTCCATTAGCCACATGGCAGACAAAGGACAATAAAAGACATAAAAATACAATAAAATATACAAGGTTACATTTATTACATAAAATACAGACATTCTATCTATCCCCAGATAGCTTAGATCTGAGCGCACATTATTACCGGATGGCGCCCAGATCACATACATATAGTTCAATCGCCATGGAGCCAAAGTCTTTCATACAGTCTTTCAGTATACTGCTGGGCTCCATGGCATAGCTATCTGGGGTAGCATGGCTTTAACAGTCCGCAGAAAGGCACAAACCAGCCTTTCTGCAGGAAAAAAGAACGGGCCATAGTCTAAAGGCAAGAGGCGGGCAAGCAGCCCCCTCCAAGGACACGTGGCGAGGCCGGTTTCGCCACAGGAACACCCCTAGGTTATGGTTAAAGAAGAATCCCTACTTCTGATTTGCTTTATGTCTCTGGCCTATAATGCTCACAGGGAGAAGCTTTGCGACCCCATAGCAGTACATGCACATGTATAATTACATTAAAATCAGGTGTCAACTTAGTTTTGAAATGATCTTTTAAAAACATATCATTAGGCATACAGAGCTGAGATTACCTAAAGAGGTAGTCTTTGTCATGGTGGCGACAACCGAAAAATAACCAGGTATCCCCAAATTTAAATCCATTCTTCACTTCCTTGAGCTTCATTCTAAAGAACAATAAAGGAAATCATAAAACAGAACAGAAGAATTGAAAACATGCATTTGAGAAATAAATCAGAGTATATTCTTTTAACCCTGTAACGATCACATTACTGTCTATGCGGTCACATAGTTCATGGCTTAGACCATCATGCATTAAAGGGACACTATAGTCACCTGAACAACTTTAGCTTAATGAAGCAGTTTTGGTGTATAGAACATGCCCCTGCAGCCTCACTGCTCAATCCTCTGCCATTTAGGAGTTAAATCCCTTTGTTTATGAACCCTAGTCACACCTCCCTGCATGTGACTTGCACAGCCTTCCATAAACACTTCCTGTAAAGAGAGCCCTATTTAGGCTTTCTTTATTGCAAGTTCTCTTTAATTAAGATTTTCTTATCCCCTGCTATGTTAATAGCTTGCTAGACCCTGCAAGAGCCTCACGTATATGATTAAAGTTCAATTTAGAGATCGAGATACAATTATTTAAGGTAAATTACATCTGTTTGAAAGTGAAACCAGTTTTTTTTTTTCATGCAGGCTGTGGCTAGGGCTGCATAAACAGAAACAAAGAGATTTAACTCCTAAATGACAGTGAATTGAGCAATGAAATTGCAGGGGAATGATCTATACACTAAATCTGCTTTATTTAGCTAAAGTAATTTAGGTGACTATAGTGTTCCTTTAAAAATACCGGCATGGTTAAATCCTTGCTGGTATCAAGGGGCCCCATGTAAAATTGGATACTCAAGGGAATACTGCACATAGCCCTTTAAATCTATTTAATTAACGTGGCTAAGGAATCTTGATCAACTGATGTGATTCTGAACCTACACCAGGGATGAAAAAGGCCCCTGGGTCTGAAAAGACCCTGGTGATGTCTCACTGCATGCTCACTGTCCAGCAGAGATCTCCCTCTGCTGGACAGTGGATTAGGGGTGGAATTAATGGGTGGGATTGGGGCTGGATTAGGGGTTAGATTATGTGTGATATTATGGGAAAAGGTTTACATGTGGGGAATCATTGTACAGTGGGACCTCAGAACTGGAACTTTCCCTTACCTGAACAATTCAGTAGTGAACTATAAAATTAGAGAGGAAAAAAGGTCTCGGTACCAGAACAAAACTCTGTATCTGAACCTTGTTGGAACCTTGCTGGTTTTGGCCCATCAGCCTCCAACACGAGACAAAATAAACAGAGCTCCATTCTGTCAGAGAAAAGAGCTCCATTCTGCCAGCAAACAGTTGACTGATAAAGTGAAGTTACATTTTCATTTCATTTACATTGTGTGTTTTTCTGTATGATTTTATGCATGTAAGGCATTATTAAACTGTAAAATTTGTGTTAAAATGCTGTAATTTTAGGGGTCTGGTACAGATTAATCTAATTTACATTAATTCTTATGGGAAATTTTGATTTGGTTTTCAAACAAATTGGATATCAAACAGCCTTCTAACAGATTAAGTTTTAGTTCCGAGGTTCCACTGTACTTGACAATTGTGGCACAACACAAATATAGGTAGTTTAAAGTAGTGGGACGTGTGTATTCTGTGAACTTCCTCAAAATAACAACAAAAAACAAACTTAATATTTTGAGGAGGTCTGTGATAAAATGGTTAAATGAAAAGTGTTCTTCCTTAAATAGCCTTTGAGATGTACTTTCTACAATATAATACTTGCAGTGGTTTTGGATTCGGTGACCACTATAAAAATTGTAGTCACAGCATGCCCAATTTTACAATGTTTTAACTTTAAAACCATAATTCCCTCCTTGCAATAAGTTCAGTTTGTTTTCCCCTTCGGGAGCTACAAACTCCTGAACACCGACCACCCCCTGGCTCAATAAACATCAAATAAACCACAGACTTAAAGGAACACTATAGTCACCTAAATTAATTTAGCTAAATAAAGCAGTTTTAGTGTATAGATCATTCCCCTGCAATTTCACTGCTCAATTCACTGTCATTTAGGAGTTAAATCACTTTGTTTCTGTTTATGCAGCCCTAGCCACACCTCCCCTGGCTATGATTGCAGAGCCTGCATGAAAAAAAATAAATAAACTGGTTTCACTTTCAAACAGATAAACTCTAAATTGAACTTTAATCACATACAGGGTCTAGCAAGCTATTAACATAGCAGAGGCTAAGAAAATCTTAATTAAACAGAACTTGCAATAAAAAAAGCCTAAATAGGGCTCTCTTTACAGGAAGTGTTTATGGAAGGCTGTGCAAGTCATATGCAGGGAGGTGTGACTAGGGTTCATAAACAAAGGGATTTAACTCCTAAATGGGATTGAGCAGTGAGGCTGCAGGGGCATGTTCCATACACCAAAACTGCTTCATTAAGCTAAAGTTGTTCAGGTGACTATAGTGTCCCTTTAAATGCTCTCTCTGTGTGGCTGTTCGTATAACTGAACACAACGTGCTGGAGAAAATGGCGGCCATCTTGTTGCACGAACGCAGGACCTGTGCGTCGAGTGTCTGGAACCATAAGTTGGACACTCGACCGCACAAACACTGATGAAAGCGCACAAACGCCTTCTTTCCGCGACAAGCCAGGAGAGCGCTGTTCGGTAGGTTTGTTCGCACGAACAAGGCGAACAAACGCTACCTATGAGACAAGGGAACAGTTTGTCTTTCTGTTCGCTTTGGAACTCCTGAAATTGACCGACCGCTACCACTGAATCTCTGGAATTGATTTGGGCAGACGCCTCGAGTGCGGTCAGTCAAAACTTTACCCTGGTGGCGATTTGGCTGTGTTCGTGGGATCTGAGAGCTATTAGGACAACTTGGGCACTCGGTTCCAGGCTATTCAGGGATATAATATTTGTGGGGTTCCTCTATTCTATTTTATGCTTAGTCATTCTGACACAGAAATTCATGGGCGTGTTGTGGGAGTGTGTTACTGTATCCTTGCTTTATATATGTGGGCCATCTGGCCATAATAAAACCAGTTCTTTTATACCATTCCTCAAGTCTAGGCTGTAGTGGTGTTATGGAGACAAGCTCAGGCACAGAGTGTAGTGGTGTTGTGGAGACAGGCTCATGCACAGAGTGTAGTGGTGTTGTGGAGACAGACTCAGACACAGAGTGTAGTGGTATTATGGAGACAGGCTTGGAGACTATGGGTTGGCCTAATAAAAAGCAGTTGTTGTTGGGGGATTCTATCATAAGTGGTGTGGAGCTGGTCAATAGTGGTCTTGTACGATGTTTTCCTGGAGCTACTGCTCACAGAGACAGGAGACGTATTTGTAATATTGTTAAGCGTGCAAAGCAGGAAGGGGAATTGGATGTACTTGTCCATCTTGGGACAAATGACTTGGCTTGCAATGAGGTTTCAGAGGTAAAGGAAGTTTTTAGTGTTTTTGCCAATGATATACAGCAAGTTGCTTCCACATTGCGCAACACTCAGAACGACAGGCGGATGCGCATTAGAGACTTTAACTTGTGGCTTGGTGAATGGTGCCGGGAGCAAGGATTTGGCTTAATTTCTCATGGTAGCTCTGTTTGGATTGTAAATAAACTGTACAAAAAAGGTGGTTTGCATCTTTCTCAAAAGGCAACAAATGTTTCCGTGAGAAGTTCAGAGGTTTTGCTAGGATATAGTTAAACTGGGAGGAGGGGGGCAAAAGGGTGAGAAAACATTAATCCAATTGCCCCTCAAAACAAGGTCAGAATGTGCCTGTAGCAAGTGTGTTAAAAAATTATAAGCTTAGAGTCATGTCTACAAATGCTTGCAGTTTAGGGAATAAGATCCATGAACTTGTGGCAATAATGGCAACTGATAATGTAGATTTAGTTGCGGTTACGAAGACATGGTATAATGAGATAAATGACTGGGACATAGCAATACCAGGGTACTCTTTATATAGAAAAGACAGGGAAGGCATGAAAGGGGGGAGGGGTGGCCCTGTATGTGAAGGATAACATAAAATCAAGCCTAATAAAAGTTAGTGAGGCGAACATAGAGTCCGTTTGGGTTACGTTAGAATTTGGTAATCACACAGCAAGTTGTGTAGGTGTGATTTATAGGCCCCCAGGGCAAATAGAGTTCCTAATAGTTAGGGACATAGCTAAAATGACAATGAAGGGGGAAGTTATTATTATGGGTGACTTTAATCTTCCTGATATGAACTAGAAAACCAAAATAGCTGCATGTGTAAGGAGCACTCCCTCCCTAAACTCCCTACTGGGATTGTCTTTAAAACAAGTTGTTGAGGAGCCAACTTGTAAAGAGGCCATACTTGATTTAGTATCAAATGGAGATTTGGTATCAGATATTACTGTAGGGGAACGTTTAGGATCCAGTGATCATCAGTCAGTGTGGTTTAATATAAAGGACAGTGACTGAGTAACCACACAAAAACAAAAAAGTTTTAGATTTTAGAAAAACAAACTTTTCTAAAATTAGAATATGTGTAAAGGAGTCATTATCAGACTGGTGCAGTTTAAATGGAGTCCAAGAGAAATGGGATTATTTAAAAGTTGCACTGCTGAAGACAACAGAAAATTGCATTAGGCTTGTCAGTAAAAGCAAAAAATAGTAAAGTCCGTAAAAGCCAAACTAATCTTATTGATTTTTTTTGATTGGGTAACTTAAATAATAGATCAGGGTGGTGCAGTAGACATTGCTTAGCTAGATTTCACTAAGGCTTTTGACACTGTTGCACATAGAAGGCTTATCAAAAAAACTGCAATCTTTAAGGTTGGATTCCAATATTGTTAAATGGGTAATGCAGTGGCTGAGTGACAAGCAACAGAGGGTTGTAGCCAATGGAGTATATTCGAAACATGGTCTTGACACCAGTAGGGTACCTAAGGGATTTGTACTTGGACCCATTCTCTTTAATATTTTTGTTAGTGATATTGCAGGAGGTCTTGATGGTAAGGTATGTCTTTTTGCTGATGATACTAAGATATGTAGCAGGGTTGATGTTCCAGGAGGGATAAGCCAAATGGCAAATGATTTAGGTAAACTAGAAAAATGGTCAGAGTTGTGGCAACTGACATTTAATGTGGATAAGTGCAAGATAATGCATCTTGGACATAAAAACCCAAGGGCAGAGTAAAGAATATCTAATAGAGTCCCAACCTCAACATCTGAGGAAAGGGATTTAGGGGTAATTATATTTAAAGATAGGCAGACACTGTAATAGAGCAGAAGGAAATGCTAGCAGGATGCCTGGTTGCATAGGGAGAGGTATTAGCAGTAGAGAGAAGTGCTCATGTCATTGTACAGAGCACTGGTGAGACCTCACTTGAAGTATTGTACGCAGTACTGGAGACCGTATCTCCAGAAGGATATTTATACTTTAGAGAGAGTTCAGAGAAGGGCTACTAAACTGGTTCATGGATTGCATGATAAAACGAACAAGGAATGGTTAAAGGATCTTAACATGTATAGCTTGGACGAAAGACAAGAAGGGGGATATGATAGAAACATTTAAATACATAAAGGGAATCAACACAGTAAAAGGAAGATACTATATTTAAAGAGAAGAGAAACTACCACAAGAGGACAGTCTTAAATTAGAGGGGAAAAGGTTTAAAAATAATTTTAGGAAGTATTACTTTACTGAGAGGGTAGTGGATGCATGGAAAAGCCTTCCAGCTGAAGTGGTAGAGGTTAACACAGTGAAGGAGTTTAAGCATGCGTGGGATAGGCATAAGACTATCCTAACTATAAGATAAGGCCAGGGACTAATGAAAGTATTTAGAAAATTGGGCAGACTAGATGGGCCGAATGGTTCTTATCTGCCGTCACATTCTAAGTTTCTATGTTTGGGTAGCTCGGAGTAATAATCATTATTTCACTTGGGACTTGAGAGATTTACAACGGATATTCTCAGTGGGAGTATAGGGAATCCGTTATATTCTTTATTTGCATTTGCTGTGTAGAACTGATACAACTGTGAACTTTTAATATTTTATTCATATTTAAATTTGTGTTATGTATAAATATAGGGTATCAAAAGAAAGCCATATTTCTCCTTTCAGAAATGACAAACAATATGTATGGGCACACTTAAATATTAAAGGACCACTATACGCACCCAGACCACTTCAGCTGAATTAAGTGGTCTGGGTGCCAGGTCCATCTAGTGTTAACCCTGCAGCTGTAAACATAGCAGTTTCAGAGAAAGGTAAGTGTTTAACCCCTTCAGCCCAGCGGGAGGGGGGCCATGAGAGTGGGGGGGAACTAAAGACCCTATAGTGCCAGGAAAACGAGTTTGTTTTCCTGGCACTACAGTGGTCCTTTAAGTGTGAAATTGTGGTAGAATTAATGTGTAGCCAAAGTACCAAAGAAGACAGTCACATAGGAGTTTAATTTTAAAAGAACCATGGTCTTTAAAATAATAAATTTAAAAAAATAATCTCTTCATTGTATTTACATTCACTCAAGTAAAATCTGTATCTGACTCTATACTGTTAAATATTAAGTTGCTTACTACCAAATTTTCTTTCTGTATATGACTAGTTCTTTGGAAATGTTAAAATGTAAAGCACTATATTATGCTTTCCTGTCTTAGGTATGCATGGTTGCGTATGTTCAGACCGTTCCCAAGCAAAAATATTTCATAAGGACATTAAGACAATAGGGAAAACGGTCAGTTTAGAATGATTAATGATGTATCATACCTATCCTGTGTGCAGCAGAAATGAATTAAATCAGATAATGTAGATCTAATGCTATACAATCTCATGGGACATATCAAGAAACAATAAAGTTCACTATCTTGCATACTTGAAAACGAAAGAGATCTCAATGTATCCATCCTGGTAAAATATTTTATAAATAAATAAATAAAATATATTTTGGCTCACAATGTTTTGATTGGTCTGAACAAACCTTAATTCTGAAAATAGGCCGCCTTATAATGTCAAATATAATTGTATGTGTGTATGATTTATCACAGACATATATACAAATACACACATTGTTGCACTTGACACTATTCATTGGTGATTGAAAACAAGAAGAAATACACTGCTCTAACAAGAAGAAATACACTGAGAGAGTGTGCTATGGAAGCATAATTTAAGGCGACACACACGGGCGTACTCACAACTCACAGGGCCCTCGGCCAATAGGAGACCAAAGGCCCCCTTCTGGTGCAAAGTTATTTTCCCCTGTGTTTGCTGATGACATCACAAGCAGCATCCCCTACATTTGTTTTCAATCATACAAGTAGCCTCCAAATACATGTTTGTAGGCGACTTGTGGGGTTCAGTGTGTGGGATGCTGCTTGTGATGTGTTACTGTATGTCAACACGTTGTTAGAAAAGTTTGTCTTCTACCGATTTGTACTGCGCTGCAGAATATATTTGTGCTATATAGATGGTTGTAATTATTGCGTGTGTGTGTCTGTGTGTAAGGAGGCAGTATTGCAATAGTGGGGATGCTGCTTGTGGCATTGTGTGCCTACAGTGAGGCTCCTGGTGGATTTGAGTGTGTGAATGAGTCTGTTTGCAGTGTAGTATGTGGGTTGAGATGGCTGGTTGTGTTGCAGTGTGTGGTAGGGGCTGTAGTAGGCGTATGGTGGATACTAGGGCTGTAGTGTGTGTTTGTATGGATAATGAGGGCTCTACTGTGTGACCAGTAAGCGTATGACTGTTCAGGCAGCCGTGCCCCTGACTGCCCTGGGCCCTCAGTCCATGACCAATTTGCCTGAGTGGTCAGTCTGCCCCTGCGCGCACGTACACATACATGTACCTCGGGAGAAGCTGATCCTGTGAGACCATATCACCCTCCATATATACTCACGTAATGCTAAATGAGAAATCTTGACAGCAGAACCTCGTCAGAATTTGGAAACACTGTCTATGACCATAAGTCAAAGGAGTCTCTACTTTGTCTTATAATATATTTTGCTTGCTAGTGAATGTCAGTAATCAATCATTTGTGCAGAAATAATATAGCACCCTTGTTGAAACAGGTTAAAGGATAAGAGGTCGGCAACTAAAGCCAACAGGGGTGTGGTACAACTAAACATAAAAAAATGCCTAAAGAACTTTCCTTACAAAAGCAGCAGTGCTCTTGGAGCATCAGTGTTAGATAGATTTAAGCCATTAAAGTTACAGATGAAAACTTCTGACCCAATCTGGGATCTGAAAAATGAACGTGTCTGTTTACTCACCCCCTCCGTTCTTTTTACTTTCTTTTTACCCCCCTGTTCTTTTTACTCCCCCCCTCTGTTCTTTTTACCCCCCCCCCCAATCCTCCCTACGTTCTTCTCACCTCCCCTTCCCTGTGAAGCATGGGTGGCCGATCTCCTCTTCATCCTGTCAGTCTGGCCGGGTACCGCGCGGTACAGGAGACACTGAGTGCTCACTGCCTTTCAGTCCAGCCGGGAACAGGTAACTGAATCTCCTGTACCGCGCGGTACCCGGCAGGACTGACAGGACAAAGAGGAGCTCGGCCACCCACGCTACACAGGGAGGTGAGAAGAGAGGCAGTGCTGCAGCCGCCTGATGCTCTCTATAGAGTGCTCAGGCAGATGCAGCATTAGAAGGGCCGGCGATGGGGGCGCAGGGCGCCCCTCCCTTTATGGCGCCCTAGGCAGCCATATAGACGACCCCCAACTTTTAGGAAACCCTATACCCGGCGTATAAGACGACCCACGACTTTTGAGAAGATTTTCCAGGGTTAAAAAGTCATCTTATACGCCGGAAAATATGGTAGGTATCCACAGATCTGCCAGAACATTAAAACCACCTGCCTAATATCGTGTAGGTCTCCCTATGCAACCAAAACAACTCTGATGCGTCGAGGCATGGACTCAACAAGGCCCTCTGAAGTCTTGCAAGCTGTGAAGTGGGGCCTCCATGGATCAAATTTGTTGTTCCAGCACATCTGACAGATGCTCAAATTAGATTGAAATCTGGGGAATGTGGGGGCCAAGGCAACACTATGAACTCTTTGTCATGTTCCTGAACCCATTGACGAACAATATTTAGCAGTGCCGCAGAGTGCATTTATACTGCGGAAAGAGGCCTCTGCCACCAGGGAACACCGCTGCCATGAAGGTAGTCCATAGCAATCTCTAGGAGGTGGTACGTGTCAAATTAACATCCGCATGAATTTCAAGACCCACGATTTCCTAGCACAACACTGCCATAGTGAATACTGCTGACATTTCTTCCACAGATAAACAACGCACACGCACCCAGCCATCCAACTAAGCTAAAAGAAAGCTTGATTCCTCAGACGAGGCAAACTTCTTCCATTGCTCCATGTTCCAGTTCTAATGCTCACGATTCCACTGAAGGCATTTTTGGCAGTGGTCGTCATACACAGCAAACTGAAATCCACTGTGTGTTTTGACACCTTTATGTCATTGCCATATTTTCAGCAACATAAGCCAAGATCATCTGTTTGTTCGGATCAGACACGGTAGCCTTCACCCTCAATGTGCATCAAAGAGCCTTGGGCTTCCATGACCCTGAGGCCGGCTCACTGGTTGTCCTTCCTTTCACCACTTATGGTAGGTACTAACCACTGCATACCGGTAACACCCCACAAGACTTGCCAATTTAGAGATGGCCCAGTTGTCTAGCCATCACTATATGGTCCTTGTCAAAGTCACTCAGACCTTTTAGCATGTCCATTATTCCTGCTTTCAACACAAGAAATTCAAGAACTAACTGTTCGCTTGTAGCCCAGTATATCACACCCATTGATAGGTGCTACTGTAACAATATAATCAATGTTATACACTTCCTCTGTGAGTGTTTTTAATGTAGTGGCTGATCAGGTTAAACAATCCTCTTACATACTATATGTCATTTATAAAAATCCATTTCCTTTGAAAACTTGATAAAAGTATTACTAATTTAAAAAGTTTTTTTTTGGAGATGACAGTTGTCCTTTAACACCTTTGCTTTCCAAAGGCTTTTAAATTTGTTTTGTTACTCCTTAATTCACTTTAATATTTCCATTACTGTTTGAGTCATGCACGCTCTAATTTTTGCATTATTTTGTCTCTGTTTAGTTAGGAAGCCTGTGTCAGGGTACCTTGTGTGATAGCACAGGCTGTGCCACAAGCTGGCATCTTCAGGTAAGTGATTGGGGACATGCCAAATGATTCTCCTCTTGTTCTCATCGATTTTCACGCCGGCCGCACTAGGTCTGCCCCTTTTTATGATGCCATGCGCGCAGAAGTCATGGTGCTAATGATGTCACAGTCCACCAAAACGTTTGAATTCAGACATTTTGGGGGTGTTACTACAGATCAAGGTACTTAAGGGAAGCTCAGGGAAAGGCTCATTGCCCTGTTGTGGTTCTTCTTAGTCCCAATAGTGTGTTTCTTTGTATTGTTATCTCGGATTTTGACATTTGGCTGTGTTTGACAATTCTACCTTCTGTATTCCTTTGACCTTGGCTCTTGTACTCTCGCTGTTCCTGATTTCTGGCATCCCTGACCTTGTTTATTAATACACTCTGTTCTTGTGACGTTAGTCCGGCAATTCTAAGGTCCGGTATACGTTACTATTCTGTTACACTCTGCGTGTAGGATCTCCTGTTATTCCTGACAGCCTGGTGTGATGCACATATTCAGGCAATACCAGTCTTAAATATTGACCTTTGATAAAAAGTGGAAAAATGTTAAAAGGAACTCTGAATGTCCTCATGAAAAATTAATGGAGCATTAACATGTGCAATTGTTGGTTTCTTTCCCTCGTTGGAATAGGATAATGGTCAACAAACAAAAGGTGAAGCACAGCAAGCTAATTATCGGCTTCTAAAAGCAGTCATAGGTCTATGCATTTTTAATGAAAAAAAGTCAATAAAATGTTAGGTCCATACATTTTTGCTTTGCACCGTGTGCACAAACACATTGTTTTGAATCTATATAAGACCACAGGCATACAAGGAAGAATTTTGTTTCAAATAATTGTTTTCACTTTTAATGCTGACCCAATATGCCCTAAGTGTTAAATTGTTCAATGCCTTTTGGATGTTCAATTGCCAACACAGCCCAATTGTAATATTAGCTGTCAACAAGTCAATGTAGTATTTGACATGTTCACTGCAATCTGCAAATTTTTTAGTATAAGTTTTTAGTGAATATTGTAATGTCTATTTTTATTATGCTGTATCGTTGCTCTGGCAGCTGTCATTTGGGGTTATCAAATTTTCCCCCATGATATAGTGTCTGTCTGTTAACTGAATATCCATTATTTTGAAAAGAGAATATGAAACTGGGCTTCCAGAACCACTTTGATTGCTTTTAGTATTCTGTCACATGTAACCTCTTTTAATAGTTTAATATTTTTAGTTGTGAAATTTGAATTAACTTTGCACTCATATGAGCTTCAGAAAATCTGTCCCACACAGGGTATATACACAATTAGGAAACCAACAACTCCATACCATTGAACACGTGTGGAATCAAATGGAATACTTGGTGTCATTTATAAGTAACACACACCTACATACATATATTTTATACACATTCACATACATGCTGTTTTACATTAAGTCAAAGTTTAACACTATAGTCATGTTTTTCCTACTTTGATGTTCACTTGACTACAAAAAGTGTTTCTATTTTTACTGTAAAAGGAACACTTTAAAATGTTTTTGAAAAATATGCAAGACTTATTTTTGTTTCTAACTTCACTGCTTTCAACTAAACATTCTAGTACCTGTAGACTATAATTGAGATAGATTACAGAGCAGTTGCATAGGCACTTGCTGGATGCTTGTATCTATGGAAACTCACTGAACTGCATATAAGCTTAAGGCTGACCAAAGCAAAAGCAGATGTAGTACATCTGGCTATTGTCCAAGAAGAAAAAGAATAGCAAGTCATCAAGAATTTAGTAACTCTATACAACACCTTTAGCTCCAGAGCAATACCCCCTGGTGAGAACTGTGCAGGAAAAAAATAAAAATAAAATAAAAAAGCATGCTGCAACAGCAAATCTATATGCTTTTAAAGTCGCACAGAGGATTTCATTTTAATGTGTAAGCAGCATTTTAATGTCCCCAACTGCACATGTTAAGGCAAATTGTTGCTCAGTAAGTTTTTTAATCTTTAATATCCATGTGTTATGTTCTAGAAAAATGTTCAAGGTAACTTAAATCCATTAGGGCATTTGAATAGACTATTTTGCAATAACAGAAAATTATCATATAATTGTAATCTTGTCATGTCTTTAGCCCCCAGCATGAGCTGCATCAAGGCTACTGCACGGGAGGTATCCAGATGCAGCTGGAGCCAGTTTTAAGGGCCTTTTGCTTGCCGATTAGTTGTATTGCACCACACATACTTCTATCCTAACTTCTTATTTTATCAGAGGCAAAATTGTTTCTAAAGCCTCTTCAATTGGTTGTCGACAAATAAAAATCTTTAAGAAGGCTGATACTTTCTGTGATTTTATTTCCAGCCTATTTGTAAATTTTCAAAATCCGGTTGTTGCTTAGCTTTGAACAAGCATAACAGGAGCATCCTGGTCTATAATAAAATGACCCAATGGTATTATTACCATGACATAAAGTTATGATTTCATTAATGACCAGGATGAGAGTATTATTCATACCCTCCCCCACTGATGTGTTAATAATATAATTTCTCAGTTTAACAGTTACTGTTAGTGCCTTTAGACATACTCAATATATGCAATGCCTTATTACGGAGTTATGGAATTTGTGGACTTTTGCCTTTTCATTATTTATGTCTTATGACTAATATTCAGAAATATTATGAAATTTGTCTTCTCCCCTAGTTTGATTTTACCTTTGTATGGACACATTCCCTGTAGGAAGATATTAACTTCTCTGATTCCACTTCTCCATTCAGTATGGAGCTTTTGGTTCTATTTAGATTGTGAAGTTCCAGTTTGTGTTCTTCAGGTTAGCGAGAAAGATGAAAATGGTGGGCTACTTCAGATATTTAAACAATCTGGTTATTTTACATTATGCTGGGTTTTTTTTTTAACTCTTGCTTTTTCTAGATTTTGTTTTTGCTGCTGAGGGAAATAAAAAAAAAAGCAGCATAACACTCACCCCCATGTCATAGATAAATCCATGACTTACCCCACGATTATGGTATAATCTGGAGATTTCTATCATTTAACCTAAAGAGTGCCCATTTTGAAAGATGTAAAATTAATCAATTGGGGTAAACTAACTGCTTGTGCACAGGTATTTAATTTTCATATTTTAAAGTTTTATACATAGAATCTCAGTGTTGCTATAATGCATTGACTTGAATTGAGCATACAAGACCCCCCTTCCCCCCAAAATTAATTTAAATGATGCTACCATTATGAAGAGCTTGCATGCAGAAGAAGTAGTAGTGTTTTTTTTTTTAATATAATGGAACATAAAATAAGTATAGAAGTACATAAGCATTGTTAAACTGAGCTTGCCTGTGTTGCAAGAATCCAATAAATGGTGCTATGCCTGTCCCTGGTCCCACCATTATAACTGGAGCAGATGTATCTGTTGGCAGCTGGAAGGATGTGGAAGGTCGGGCAAAAATGGATATCTAAAAAGAGATGAAATCAGCATGTTATCTGGGGTGCTAGCCAAAGTTGAAACTAAACATATATTAACTGGGAATCAAATTGATGATAACAGACTTGGTGAAATTTAGAGACCAGAGACATAATTGCATGAAGGGTGCAATCATTTATCTGGTTCTAATTTTAAATTCAGGCTCTGAGTGAAACTAACATTCCATTTTTTTCTTGTTTCAAAACAAACAAGCTAGAGGGACTGCACAGATTATTTGTACCATAACCACTGCAGTAAGCAGTAGTGGTTTTAGGTTTTGAATTATCCCTTTAAAGCTGCAGTTTAATCAAAAAGTCTGTGGTTTAATACAAAAATATTAAATAATGCAATGTTACTACACACAGAGCAGAAACATTGGACTATGCATGACACTATACCAGATATGGCCAAACAGGGAGCATCAGTTCAGTAGAGTAGCTATATTAGAAGGAGCTGTTCCTTCTGATAATTGCGGGGAAAAAAATTGAAGAATAGGACTACCAAGGTAGTAATTTTACCTGTGTCATGCACTAAAGAGTAAAGGGAGTTTAATGTGTGGCTGATGTTGTGGTGTAGGAAGGATGGCTTAGCTTGTTAGAGCACTGAGCCCATTAGGAAGGAAAATTAGTCTAGATGAAAATAGGTTTTCTTTTGTAGAACCTTGGCTTAAAGATAGAATTCAGAGAGTTGTCATCAATGGTAAATTTTCAAGCTGGACAAAAGTGGTAAGTTGTGTCTCTAAGGGTTCTGTTCTCGGACCATTTCTCTTTAACATATTTATAAAAGATCTTGAAATGGGCATTAAAAGTCATGTGTTTTTTTATTTGCAGATGACACAAAACTCTGTAAAGTAATACGATGTGAATAGGATATTGCTTTTGCTGCAAAGGGATTTAGATAGATTGGGAGACTGGACACTGACATGGCAGATGAAGTTTAATGTAGAAAAAGGCAAAGATTTGCTCTACGAGGTAAAAAATACACAAACATCTTACACCCTAAATGGTAGTGAATTAGGGAAGGATTTGGGAATTATTAGAGATCAGCAGTTGATAAGGCTAGTAAGGTATTGTCATGTATAAATTAGAGCATTAATTCTCAGGATGAAAATATAAATTTTGCCTCTTGATATTTCGCTGGTAAGACCACACTTTGAATATGCTGTGCAATTTTGAACACAAGGCCACCCATTGAGGCAGGAAGAAAAGAGGTTAAATTTAAGGCAAAGGAAAGGGTTCTTTCCAGTAAGAACAATAAAGACGTGCTAAAACTACCTCTTCAGACAAAAAAACTCGCTCATCTCCCTAATTTAAATTTGCCCCATCCTTTTTTGTCAACAACAAAGTGTGTGTTGTTTAATACCAACACAACCTCACTGATGCATGCAGTGACAGACACACTGAAATACACACACTGATTTGACACACTCTGACAGACACAATCACTCACTCACAGACACACACTAATTTGACATACTCACTGACATACACACAGTCACTCAGAAATACAATGACAGGCACACACACATTCAATAACAGACACATACACACTCACTCAGTGACAGACGACACTTTCACTGGACAGACACACACACACACACACACACACACACACACACTCACTATAAGACACACACACCGATACTGATACATGCATGCTTTTCACACACTCACAAAGTTTGGGATGACTGTTGGCCGGGCTGCTGGACAGGCATGCAGGTGGGCGTTTAAAGCAGGCGTCGAGGAGCTGTGATCTTCTTGCTCAGCTCCCTTGTGCGACGCTTAGTGATGCTGGGACCAGAATTACATCATAATTCTGCTCCCGGCATCACTGCAGGGAATGCAAGGGAGCAGAGCAGGAAGATCTCACAGATCAGTGCCCCCTCTTCGCCCGCCTGTAATACAAATGTCCGCCCGCCTCAGAGGGCCCAAATGTGGCCGGCCAGCCAGCTCTTGGACCCTCCATGAATTGAGGCTAACAAGTTATCTTCTGGGGCATTTCTTTCAAACTCCTCCCCCCCCCCCTCCTATAGGGATTCCTTAAAAAAAAAAATCATCACAAGTACATTGTGAAATATTGGTGTAACAATCATTAATAAAAATAACTGCATTTTTTTTCTTTACTTTTTCAGGTACAAAACACTTAATTACAAATGAAAAGGCCAAAATATTCTGCAGTGCTTTGAAATTCTATAATGGGTATATTTGACAGGAAGATCACATACAAAAATTATGAGACAAGAGTCATGTATACATTAATTTAGCCATAAATAAAAAAAAAATTAAAAATAAAAACACTCCCTCACCTCCACACTAGTAATTTAAGTACAAGTGAGAGCAGCAGAACCTTTTACTCCTACACATAGATCACCTTCTCTCTGTCAAATCAACTGCAATGGTTGCAGTGACATTCACCTTGCAAGACTAGGATGCAGATATATATGAAAGGAATAACAAATTACATTCTGTTTTGATACCAAGGCACTGACAATAAAGCTAGTGTGTGAGCGTTTTCAAGCAGGGCCAATGGCACAGTAAGTGGGCTAATGGTAAGAGGACCAGGAGACCTGTGTTATGATCCTTGCAGGAAAAGAGCGGAGAAGAACATTAACGTAATGTAAGACAATTAAATATATGATAAAAGTTCAGTTAATGCTAAAAGAAATAAAGCTGTAAGCTTTAGGGCATTTATTTCAAATTTCACATGCAATGGCATGTTGTTATCAAACAGTTTTGTTATTATCCTCTAGTCAATAAACCGTGTGCTGCAGAATCTCAACACAAATAAATGAAAATGATAAAACAAAGAGCGTTTTATTCTCCTACCTGTGGAATTAATATTGTCTCACTTGTCAGATCTCCCTCTGGCAACTGTGCAGATTTCACATAATACAGTGGGTGCACAAGTTCAGAGAGCCAACCGGTGCATACACCTTTTCTGGGTACAGGTTTTTCTGAGCAGCTTGAAAATTCAACCACATTAAAAACGAATCGAAGCTTTCCAGGATGAAATAGGTTTGAACTGCAATAAAGAAGCACAATTATTCTGATAAACACAATAAAACGTTATTCTTCACAATAAATATATATGTTCAAGATTAAAGTGCTTTATAAGTTTGTCATTGTCTTGACAGTTTCTAAAAGTAAATTAAGTTTCCTAGGAAGTGAAAACAACACTCTAAATACACAGTACTTCCATATTTAATGTATAATAGTGAATGAACATATCTGAAATACAGGCCTTCAAATTTCTTCCCACTAAAATGATTGTCCTTATCCCTGTAGAGAAAAAGTATCTAGCATTTATAGAACTGGATCCAGGTAAATGTACTACAAAAACCTTAAAGCGCTCTGCCACCCTAAACTTTCCATGCTTCAATCTGTTCCTCTTCTCTTCCTAACTCCTAATCTGGTCTTCCTTTCTTCTTTTTCCATTTTTTTCTTCTAAAGTGGGATTACTTTGCCTTCTTTTTCCTCTGCTCAACAAAGAAAACGTGACAAAAGGCAGAGCTAACTTTGCCACGTTTTGTCACTTCCTCCAGCCATCGCTAGTGGCAGCTGCAGTTATAAGCCATTGTCTTGCTAATTGCAAGACAGTATCTATAGAGGATCCAGTGGTCTGGCAACATCCTCTACAGACATTAATACTGTACAACTGCATATGTGCGAGAGTACAGCACTAACATAGGATGAAGCACCAGGAAGTGAAGAACGAAGATGGTCACATCTGGGGACAATATCAGGTAAGTTGTATATGTACACTCTAGTGCACCTCTGGAACACCACACTCCAAGCAGAGATGTCACCATTGGAGATTTAGCAAAATATGCAAAGACCCCCATAAGGTGACAGAGCTGCTTGAATTGTACATAAACTCCTAGATGCCATTTCTCAATTATAGTTGCTTATATTGTCACTGGCATGCCACTAGTGCAGTACTACATTTCAATGCTACATCTCAGATTATTAAGAGAGCGTATATTGGTCCAACTTGCATTTACAATCTGTGGTCTGTACTAGGATACAAAGATGTTTGATTATCTTTGCAGCATTGTTTCTAAAACTAGCAATAAGCTATTCAATTAGAAGAGTTTTACCTGGCAGCTGAATACGGTCTGGCTTGTAATTTAGGAAGATGTTCTGATGGGAAAAAAAAACAAAAAACACGCAATTATCAAACATTTGCTCAAATTGACAAAGGATAGCTTGATTTGTTTAAGAAATATCAAAGGTAACTGGTCTAAATAAACAAAAGCAAAAAAAACAAAAAACTTGGAGCTATAGATTATCATAAATGTCTCTTAGGCAACAGCAATATTAGAACAGTATTTAAACAAAAGAAAGAAACTGGTGGTAAAAAAAATCAAAAAATAAATAAAAAATCTTGTATTTCAAAATGTTGTAGATAAGTAATCACACATGCTTACCAATCAAAAGATTTAGTGGTGGCTTGCAACTTGGAAAAGCAGCAAGGAGATCTAAAATGCCAATGGCACGATCTCTCACAAATTGGTTATAATCTGAACTGCCTTGTTTGCTGCATAGTTCTTGTAGTCTGCGCTTTTCCGCAGAATCAGAGGTGTGCTCAACCAAAGAACGCAAAAATGCCTTAAGATAAGAAAATATACAAAAATTAAATGAACCATGAAGGAAAAAAAAAACAAGCATACTTAACAAAAATTATTTAATTCAGTCCTAGAAACACTCAAGACATGTTACAATAGCAAAAACACAATTAAAATTGTTTAACCCCTTAATGGCAAAGCTTCATTTATTTGCCTTTCATTTAAATGAACACTTTTGTTTTAGGAATACAAAGCAGTATTCCTAACATTACAGTGCCCCTCTGTCTCATTGCCCACCCAACCAGCAATGATATGGTTGAAAACCCTTCAACTGCTTACCTTATTCCAGCACAAAGATCCCTATGGCTCATTCGAGACACATTATGCTTTCCCCATAGGAAAACATCAAACCAATGCTTTCCTATGGGTATTTGCAAGACACCGGACATCTTCATGCACAGCGTGAGGACATCCAGCGTCATTTCACAGACTGCAGCGAGCACCTCTAGGGACAGGGACACCGCACCCAGACTACTTCAACGAGATGAAGAGGTCAATGTGCCAATGGTGTCCCTTTAAAGACCCAAGTAATTTTTTACTATGTGTGTGTTACACTGCAATTTCCATGTTTCTTATATATTGCACCAACACATATTATACATGCCATTTTTTTTTTTTAACAACAAAAATTAATTTGATGTGAAATATACATATATAAATTTCTAATTTTCGAATTATAAAAAAAAAAATACAAAAAGAAATGCAAAAAAAAAAAAGAAAACAGCAATATCTGCTGAGTACAACAATACTCAAATACAATACAATCTTAACACCAATATAAATCCATAATCCAATCCATACCTTAATCCTATGGCTAACACGAATTATAAACTTAATCCTGACACTAGCAATAGTGCTAGAAATAATTCTCCTTGCTGACCCTAATCCTAATCTGAACTATTCTGAAACCTAATTGCAATCCTAAAATTAATTCTAAACCTAATCTTAAACATAAACCTAATTCTTATTCTAAAACCTATTCTAAATCCTTAATGTAATACTAATCCCAAGAGCTTCTATAACTAATATCAGTATTAGCAAAGGGAATTGTAAGCTAAAACAGAGAGCGTTTTGCCATCTACTGGTTATTTTCAAGGCAATATCTGCTAACTGAAAATAGTATACCCTTTCATTATGATCGGTTCTGAGAAACTGATCAAAATGGCATAGTGTGACCCTCTAGGCAGGGGTAGGCAACCTACGGCACTCAAGGTGTCTTCACACGGCACTCAAGGCTGCTACAGCCAAACAGGCTCTGGCCTATCAGGAGTCCCAGTGAAACTTCAGATATCTGCTAATACGAAAAGGTGGTGAAGGACAATCCTCAATATATGCATTGCAGCACATAGAGTAAGTGATCTCAAATCACTTCCTCCCAGCACTTGTGAATGGGAATCCACACTGTAGTAGAGCAGCCTTCAGCTGCTGATGCAGCTCCTGTCCTTGACCTGTACCTGGCCGGCCTGGTTCCCACTGGAACCCAGGGAAGCCACCCACACTGCTCGATTTACTCATACAAATAATACGAACAGCCCACAAACAAATATACATACAATCCGCACAAACGTAACCCGCTAACAATCCACATACATGCACACAACCCCACATGCAGCCTCTCACATGCAATACCCCAAACAGCCCCCACACATACACACACTACCAAACACACAATGTGGCATTTCCATCCACACACACAATTCCACAATCAGCCCCCATGCACAGCCCACATTCATATGTATCATACACGATACCACAAACATATACAATATAATAGCTCACATACGCACAAATACAACGATACAAAGCATTTACAGTATAAATAACACAAGCAGAATACGGCAGCATACACACCTCAATTTAAAAAAATAGGACCGGCATGCTACGGGACATCACAATCCTATATCGGCACAGTGCTGCTAAAAGGTTGCCTACCCCTGCTCTAGGGTCTGTTTAGACCTGGGGGGGTCTCCTGAGCACCAGATCCAGTGAGAGAATCACAGAGCTACAGTGTTCTGACTTTCAGCAGTGCATGCATTTTATCAAAGTGTCTGGCCCACAAAAGGGAGTACAGGTATCCCAGGTAGATATCCCTACTCACACCACAATTTATTTACAGGCATTTAAATGCCTATTTAAGTAGCTGCATGACGTGCTGACATCCTGCAATGAATGCGGCTCATTAAAAAGTCTGGGGCCACTAAAAATTGCCCCAGTTGATACCTGGGACTTCCTGGTGAGAGCACTGTATTTAACCCTGCTCACACCACATACACCATGTTTGCAGCGCTCACTTTGAACCACCTACTTTTTTTATAGTACTATAAACAAAAATAAAAAAAAGTTAACTTTGTCAAATTTTATAACATGACAGGAGGCTTCGTATTTGGTTAAGTCTTTCTTTACTAGAACTCCAGAGCAGCACAGAAAAACAACCAATCAGAAAAACGTTAGGTACTATAAAACTCCCATTCCCATGCATCATTTCCTCTTTCTTTGCTGCTCTGCAGTCAGTACAGGTCAGAGTACCATTGCCTGCTGCTAATATTAGTTGGGGGATTTAGGATTTAGTATGACTTATTTATGATTTATATTTATTATTCTAGTTATCGGATTATATATTATTTTTGATATATATATATATATATATATATATATATACACATATATATATATTTTATATTATATTTCGTTGTCATATATTTTTTTCTTTTTTATATATACATTTTGTATGTTATATTTAATTTTCATATTGTATATCTATTTATATAACATAAAATATAGACATAGCAGAAATGACCACACTCCAAGGACTTTATAGAGATTTTCAAATAAAATGTAACTTTTATTCAATCCATTTAAAAAGTCAACGTTTCAGCTCCCACATGGAGCTTTCATCAGGACAAAACATGTTTTGTATCTACACGCTTGCTAGAGGAACACGTGGATCAAGTGCGCCGATATTCTTTTGTTGGATTTTATATGATACAAAGGACATGTGAAGCTTATATTGCACAATTATGGTTAAGTTCCAATCCCTATGCTTCAGTATATATGTACCTGGTCCATACATGGAGTCAGAGAGCAGACTATAGTAAGATAGTCACTGTACAGGGCGAATATAAAAAGCTAAGCAGACCTGGCTCTGGCTCAAACTGGTTTGAGAGACCAGTCTATGCGGACACTAATTCTATTCAGATGGCATATTGATGAGACATAATACTGAAGAAGAAATCTCAAAGAGGTCTGCAGCTTCGTTATTGTGCATAACCCATTCACAGTTATAAATTACCGTATTTATCGGCGTATAACACGCACTTTTTCTCCCTGAAAATAGGGGGCAAATTATGGGTGCGTGTTATACGCCGGACCTTTAAATGCTGCAGCCGCCTGAGCGCTCTGTCAAGAGCGGTCAGGCGGCTGCAGTTGGTTCTCACCTCCCCTCCCCTGTAGCGTGGCCGAGCTGCTCTGCTGTCCGCGGTGCCCGGCCCGAGTGATAGGAAGGTGAACACTCAGTGTGCACCTTCCTGTCAGTCCGACCGGGTACAGGAAACAGGAAACTGAGCGTGCACCTTCCCATCACTCGGGCCGGGCACCGCGGACAGCAAAGCAGCTCGGCCACGCTACAGGGGAGGGGGTAAAAAGAGTGGGGGGATAAAAGAGATTGGGGGTGTAAAAAGAGTGGGGGTAAGAAGAGGGAGGGTAAGAAGGGGGTAAATAGAGGGGAGAGAAGAAGAGGGGAGGGAGTAAGAAGGGGAGAGGGAGTAAGAAGAAGGGAGGGAGTAAGAGGGGGTAAGAAGAGGGGGTAAGAAGAGGGGAGGGGGAAGAAGGGGGTAGAGGGGGAGGGAGGGGAGGGAAGTAAGCAGAGGGGGAGGGGGGGAGTAAGAAAGGGGGGTAAGAAGAGGGGGAGGGGGGTGTAAGAAGGGGGTAAGAAGTTCTTTATTTGAAATGTAAGTTTTTTTCCTGAAATTTCCTTCTTAAAATGAGGTGCGTGTTATACGCCGGTGCGTGTTATACGCCGATAAATACGGTAATCACACTGTATATCATGATTTTATGGACACTATAATCACTGGAACATTTTCAGCCTATATCCGCTACAGCTGGAATACCACTATTTTGCCTGCTGGGCATTTAGGGAATGCTAGTCCCAGTTCAAGGTTATTGACACAGTATTGCACTGTCAAAAAGGGTTGGTGTCTAGGTGTCCTATGTCACAGGGTACCCTGAAGATTTACAGAAGTTTGGGGGACTTTACCCAAACACAGGGGTCCCTTCTTACTCGTTCAGACGCAACCCAGGATTGGCCTGCTCTGTCTGTGCCCGTTTGATTGGCCTGCTACGTCTGTGCCCCATTGATTGGCCTGCTACGTCTCTGCCCCATTGATTGGCCTGCTACGTCTGTGCCCCATTGATTGGCCTGCTACGTCTGTGCCCCATTGATTGGCCTGCTACGTCTGTGCCCCATTGATTGGCCTGCTACGTCTGTGCCCCACTGATTGGCCTGCTACTTCTGTGCCCCACTGATTGGCCTGCTACTTCTGTGCCCCACTGGTTGGCCTGCTACTTCTGTGCCCCACTGATTGGCCTGCTACTTCTGTGCCCCATTGATTGTCCTGCTACTTCTGTGCCCCATTGATTGTCCTGCTACTTCTGTGCCCCATTGATTGGCCTGCTACGTCTGTGCCTGAACCCCCATTTGGCCGTAGGCCTGGGGGAATAACACTGAGGAGAGCTCAGCACCCACTATTGACATGGTGATAGGTGTCCAGGCAAGCTCTGCTGCCATACCATCCAAGAGGACACCAGTATATGAGCACCTAAGTATGATTGGAAGGGTGAAGGTCCTAAACCTCATGCCTAAGGGGCAAAGATTTTATGAAGATTCCCGGACACGCAACCACGGTTAACGCCAGTCCAGTGGCGGAACATCTCCAAGGAGAATTTCGCACATGCATGGACCAGTACTCGGATGCCGACAGGGGAACACGGTTTCCTTACCTTTCACAACTAACCCTTTAGCTGCTTTTACGGTATCCATCTTAGGTATTGGTAGTTGGTCCTACGTCCTGTTTAGCTCCTGACCCTTTCAGTTGCGTTTACTTGACTTGCTGTTCCTATCTGCTATTTACTTTCTCTCCGAGGTACGTATTTACAGTTATCTACATTAATTGTAATTTTTTGGTTGTCGAGCCTTCCAATTGTCCTATTGCTCGGGTTGTCGAGAGGCAACCATCCCTTTCGGTTTTTAAGGATGGACACGGCCCGAGGTTGTATACTATTCCATCTGCCATCGTTCTAGTTTATTACCAGTCGATTCCATCTCAGGTGAGCGATTCCGAGAGAGGTCTCGTGGTCAGAGAGAGACCCACCTCAGGATTTCAGTCTTATGCTGATATTAGTAAATGGTGTACCCCTGCAGTTGGTCACCCTGAGTCTCTAAGGGACTCTAATTTGGATTACAAGAGGATGCGGCCCTCCGTCACCCCGATCCGTGAATATTTTATTTTCATGAACAGAGAGCGAACCCCTCTAATATACGGAACCGGATACTGATCTATTATTAGAGGGCCCGGCCCACACTAAACCTCAGCCCGATACTGAGCTGGATACAAAGGACATGTTTTGAGTGACACATTCCCGTGGAGAGAACCGGTCACGGAGGTGGACTCTGGTTATTAACGGGTGCAGCCCGCTCAGACTATCAGCCAGACACTGACATGGAGTTCGGCCACACTATTAGAGAGCACGGCTCTCTCATCCACTCAACGCACTACGGTGCCGTCCATTTGTTCTTCTCACAGGCTTGTACCTGTACAGGACACAATTCAAAATAATTCTTGATGTGTAGTTTTCAAGCAGAAACATTGCACATCCAGACTCCTACCATCACGACCACTTCAAACCACTAAAAAGTGTTCATGGTGGTAAGAGTAACCCTTTAAAATAGTGGCATGAGGGTATTGTTTAATTCAGAAGAGTTTCTGGCAGATAATTTGGGGGAGGGGGTGATCATAATAACACATGCAAAATGTTTGACAAAGGCATGCGTTGGGGATATTTTTGTACTCAGAAGATGTAGTTAGACACAATTTGGGGTTTTGTATAAGAGTAGCACCATTAGTTGTACAAAATACATGCAACCTATATATAAAAAATATACATACCCCGCCTCCCCAATTTTACTACAATATTTAATCAGAGATTGATGGTCAAATGGCTACTTAGAAAGTGTTAAATATCCTTAGGTAAACATACTTTATATAAATATTACTTTTATGTAAAAATTCTGTTTTCTGTGATGGGTAAACTTAGAAGACAAACATACCAATTACTAAAATTGTTTCACATTGAAATTTTATTTTCTGATCTGTAACTACCAAAAACAAACAGAAATCTCTAGACGTATGATGTAATCTATAAAGCAGGACAAATAAATTAATTGATTTTTAATTCTGTTTGCACACAATATTACTGACAAAAATGAATTTTTTTTGTTTTTTTCTATTATAAATGAGAATATACATATGCATATTTCACTTCAAAATGAGAGCCTTTTTGTTCAAATAACAAAAAACAAAACACCGATATCTAATCATTTGTGTTGGTACAAACAATGGGAATGATAATTATTAAAGTTACGGTTGAACACGTACGCATAGAAAAATTGCTGGAGTCCTTAAAGGAATGCAGTATGCACTATAAATGTTTTGAGCTACACTGCTTAATCAAATATTTATTTGCAACATGCATACACTTAAATGCTAAGAGTTATAATGCTCACAATGCAGTGTATCTCTTCCTGAAGACATTTCTGAAAAGAATGCTTGCATCATGATGGGATGGAGTAAAACCTCCACACTATCTTGGGCAGTAAACATAAATAAATGAAAATCTTCAATATATTCCAATAGCAAGAGGAATGGAAGCATTTTTTTGTTTGTCCTTAGTCACAAATAACATTGTGCCTTTTTTCTTTAGAATTTAATTCAAAGTGGTTCCTATACTGGTGAACCTAAGAAGTACTGAATTAGCATTTATTTTAATTGACTTCAAAGTAAAGATGTGCAGGCTAAACTTTAATATATGTCTTCCCTTGCCATAATCTTTTCTTAGCTATAAACCTAAATAAGCACTTTGTATATCATATTGGTCAATAAACATTTACGGTTTAGTATGTGTCTACAACATGACTTATACGCCAGTAGCAGGTCTGCCCAATGCTATTTTCTATTATGGCAATGTTGTATATAATAACAACACTGGTTTAAACCGGAAAAGTTTATAAGAAATTATTTTCTTTCGATAAGAAATATTGAGAACAAAAAAAACAAACTTATTAGCAAGATATCTATAAAGCTAAATTTGCAATGCCACTGTATTAAACTTCATCACATTCCTGAACACAACAAGACAATATGGTGAATTTCCTGAGCAATCAGAACATGCCTCTAACAAAATATAAAGCAGATGGTTGGTAAAACATGTCCTAGGTAGAGTAATATTTTTGATTTTTTTTCTGCAAACACAGGTTAAAATAAAAAAAAAAAAAATTAACCTTCCATTAACTTTTAGCTGTTATACAACACTGACATCCAGTGGACGCAAAGGAGTGCAGCTATATTAATGTATACAAAAAGCTAGCCAAATCTTTTTGTATAGCTGCTGCAAACTCATATCTTTCATATCTCACTATATTTTTGCTGTATCCCATTCTAAAATAGTAAATGTATAATCAAGTAATCGTCAAATGTGTTCCCAGTTCACCTACAGTCATAAGTCATTCGTGAGCAGTTTTGCTTTGACTTCTCTATCCTGTTCATAATGAAATACTGTAATGAAATACTGATAATTACAAATTCCATCACAATTTTCTTCCAAATGCAGTGCCAGCTGGATGCCCATTAACCCTTGCAATAGAGACCATAAAACCCTATACAACTATTTACATGCCCATAAAAAATGTGTTGTGCCACCCCTCCAGTCATTCAAATACAGGGGTGTCTAATACCCCTGGTGGCAGTTGAGCCATGCCACCTGCTCATTACTAGAAGCTAGTAGACATTGGGGCAAAAGGATGGTATAGATCATTTTTTTTATTCTAATAATTTCTTTTAAAATAAAGTGCCTAAAAACTGAATGCGAAGAGGATGACATAGTAATAAGTTTAAACGTCCCAAGAAAGAGAGAATTGTATAAAACGAGGGCATTGTAAAATGGGAGAGAGAGGCTGAGCATACAAGTTACTTACTTTCTTAGGCACAGATCTAATTTCAAGGCACCATGTAAGCATAAATTGCAAGGAACACTTCTCAGGGATATAACTGGGTAATGAGGCACCTATTAGCAATAAAGAAATGAGGCATAAGAGAAGAAACTAGAAAAAAAAATACATTGTATTCATGGTAGTAGTGAAAAACAAGATTAGTATGCAGTTTATAGACAAATGTCTACACAAGAACATTAAAGGAACACCCTGGACACCATAACAACTTCATTGCAATGTAGTTTATGATGAAAGGAGGACCAGTGTGCCATCCTTAACAGATTAAAGGATTAACTAATCGTTTAACCCCAGACTTCTGCAAATCGCACCCCATTACTCTGCCTTTTTACTTCCTTACTTAGTCCAAGGCTTCAATCAGGAGTGCCACTCTGTTTTCTGAAATAAAAAGTTGTTTAAGGCGCCCTTCCAAGGTGCCCCAAGTCAAAAAAAATTCTAGGTTGTATATCTGTAAAGCGCTACGGCATAAACTGGACTTATAGTATGACGTATAGTGTTGGCGTCTGATTGAAAGGGTGCTTGTTTATAATTTTGGTGTTTTAATACTGAGGTGTGTTTGTATTTAATGTTTGCGTTTGATTGCAGGGGTGTGCTTGAATCACTTTTAAATCCAGATGTACATTTGTGTAGTATTTGTTCATTTTTAAATCCAGATGTACATTTGTACATTTGTGTAGTATTTGTGTTTGAGTGAAGGGATGTGTTAGTATGTGGTGTTGGTGTTTGAATGCAGGGGTGTATTTGTGTGTAGTGTTGGCATTTTATAGTAGGCGTGTTTGTGTATGTAGTTTTGATGTTTGAATGCTGGGTTATACATATACCTTCACAGACACATAAACACACACAGACACACATATACCTACATAGGCACATACACACACTGGCATACATACAAACCTATACCAACACACACACACATACACACACCCCTACATATACATACACACACTTACACCTACACACACTGGCACACACACTGACACTCACACAAACACACACATGCACGCTCATACATAGTCACACACAGAGATACACACACACACTGGCACACACACATACACACCGGCATACACAAACTGGCACTAAAAGAAACATACACACACACACACTTACACATACCTACATTGGCACACACAGAGATACACACTGGCACACACAGAGATACACACGGGCCATCACAGATACACACACTAGTACACACACAAATCACAATTTACATATTTACCACCACCCATGCTTCTATACCTTTTAGATGCAGGGAGACAAGTTCCTGGGGCTGGCTGCTGGTGATGAGAGTCTGCAGTCACTTACTCCCAGCATTATCTGCAAATATTAAAAGGGACCCAGCCATGCTGCCAAAGAGCCGCAGCACCGACCGGGCCCCCACGGAGACCTGCATGGATTTCTTCCAGCATTGCCGATACTACAGGGGCCTGGTAAAAGTCTTAAAGGGTCACGATACCCGACCAGGCCCCTATTGAGCAGAAATATTTCACAATGCGATCATTGCACCAGTGAAACATTTTGCCACCCCTGTGAGCCTGTTGCGGCGCCTACACTTGCATTAAAATTTAAAGAGTACCTTTGATTACAAATACAACTTCATCTTAAATGATAGAGAATCAAATTTCATCTATACATCGTACCAGCATTATTGTATAGCATGAGCCAATTCAGATGGTTCAAAATTTGCAAACTTAGATCTGTCATGACAGGTTCACTTTAATAATATTAAACTTGGACAGCAATCACTACTACCCAGGTAATAGTGATATACAGCCAATTTTGTGATACATTATTCACTTTAAAAACACAAATAAAATGATATATGAAACGTACCTCTTTTTTTTGTATCAGACTTAATTCCTAATGAGATTTGAAAGTTCCTCTTTTCTGAGAGTCCAAATTTCATAAGTAGTTCATTAACTTCAGAGGAAGGATTTGGGCAAATAATAGAAAAAGAATCCCCAGGCTGTAATTGAATGTCACTGTTCTACAAAGAAAATATGACACATTGTTAGCCAATTTACTATTCATGTCATATGGTAGTCATAATCATGCATTTAAATTGGTTTAAAGACATTATTGCCAAACGAAAAAAGCAAAATTTAAATGAGTGGGTCAAGTGAATGCTGTGCATAATGGGGTTGTCGATAGACTGACTGTAACCATGTTATGGCTACTATCAACATATTCAGCAGTTCATACTGGAAAAAACAAAACAAAAAAACAAACAAAAAAAAAAACAACAAAAAAAACAAAACAGTCCTTATTGAGAGGCTCCTGAGTGGTTGAATTTCGTCTTTATCTAGAAAGATCTCACTGTTTTTGCATGTTTGATTTCAATCAGTTGCAGAACTGTAAAGGCGAGTATATTTTTCTTTTTTAAATATTTCATAGCGTTTCCTGTATAATATATTAAAAAGGGGTCACTTCCAGCCTAGACTGTCCTTTTAAAAATAGGAAGATGCGGGGGGCAGGGCCTGACCACCAAGCTGGATGGACGTGGAGCAGCTCTGCTCCTCCGTGAAACCTACACATCCAGCTTCAAATTACTCTTCCCCCCCTGAAAAAGCCACACAGCTGCTAGTAGGCGACACAGGGGACCTGAGCACAACTCCTGGTGCATATACCGACCCCCATCCTACCGGCGATGCTGATTACTGGGCAGCTGGGATTGCGGCCTGTCGCGAGGCTCTGGCGGGAGATGCGGCCGGTCTCCCGTGCTTTGTCTGGCGGGACCTCTCGCACGCCTACTGAGGGCCCCGTTCTCCCCCCCGTGGGCCAGGGGGGGTTATCCCGGACCCCACCGGAGAAGCAGTGACCACTCATGACGCTTGGGCGGCGAACCGAAACACTAGGGACCGCATGGCGAAACCCAAGATGGCCGCCGCGTCCCTCACTAGCTGGAGAATGGAGGTGGCAGCAATAGAGCAACTGCTGGGCACTGTTTGGAAACCGATGCGGACCAGAACACCTGGCAATGACAGTGGCCCGCAAACAACGACACACTCTTTCCACCCGCCGGACGACTCTAAGGAGGGCACATTCAGCATGTAAGCACAGCTTATGCATTATCTGAGGCAACATCTCACGTGGTTTCCGGCAGATCTGCAAGGACTCACTTGGGACTATAACCCTGAATGAGCACAGAAGTGCAACGGACATAGGCAACAAGCCTCTTTTTTACACCTGAGGCTGAAGCCAGCAGACATGAGACCAAACGTACTCCTGGCCAACAAGTGCCTGGGCACTCAAGCAACCAGCGGGGAACACCAGGGACTTGATTACAGCCAGGACACCAGCCGACCCCACACAGCGGCAGGAGTAACTAAGTGATTGCTAACCCTGTAAAATCATAATCAAAAGTTCAGCAGAGCGTTTTGTGTCTTCTATTTTAGTTTTTATTCATACGGTCATGTCTAGAATTATTGCAGCTGACCCTATTAAGCAGACCCACATGTAACTCATTTAAAAATAGATAAGCCTACATGTCAGTTTATCCAGCAAACTCAGAGGCTCGCTTCCCCCTGGTGGTTAAATTTAAATCCAAGCAGTGTAGAGAAATCTATACCTGTCGTTAACTTGCATAGCCTGTAACTTGAGAACCATATCAACACAGCTCAACTTAGCATGCATAAACTAGCTATAAAAATTCTATCCACTTGTACAAAACCTGTTATATCTCAAAAATATAAATGTGCTGTTTACTCTGCCATGACACTGTATGATATTGAATAGCTTGTACACGCAGTCGTGGCGCTGCAAGCATGTTGTAACCACAAGCACAAGAAAAATAAAGAATTTAAAAAAAAAAAAAATAGGAAGATGCACATTTTTTAAGAAGGTGGATGTAAATAGTTTCATTGAGAAGGACAGTTGCCATTACCATCCATGGCTAGATAACATCCCCAGAGGACAGTTCCTAAGATTAAGGAGAAATTGTTCACAAATAGAAAAGTACGATCTTCAAGTGGATGTACTTAAAGAACAATTTTTAGAAAAGGGTTATGTAGACGCAGATTTGAACAAGTCAATAGACCAAGTTAGACAGATGAACAGGGATGAATTATTGGAGTATAAACAATCAAAAGGGGAAAATGTAGAAATAGTTCCACTAATCTTTGATTTTAATAGAAATCATGCCCAACTAAAGAGGATTCTTGGAAAAAATTGGCACCTATTACAAAAAGATGACAAAATGATACAATATATAGGTGACAAACCCAAAATAATATATAGGGGAGCACAAAACTTAAAACAAGTTTTAACGACAAGCTTTTTAGAAAAACCTGATAAAGATTTTATCAATATCCAAAGGGAATCACTAGAAGACTTTAATAATGGTAAGAACTGTATGGGGTGCAAAATATTGGAAAACAAAGAAAAGAAAATCACCACCTTTACTGCCCATTCCAATTCGAAACAATATGGAATAAGGTCGTTTATGACATGCAAAACAAAGAATGTGACATATGTGCTCGAGTGTGTCACATATTCATCCGCTGATAAAAATGTGGTTAATGGCATTTACTGTCCACACAGGAAACGTTGTGCCAAGCAGCAACCAAATCCAGAGAAGGGTTAAAGGACCACTATAGTGCCAGGAAAACATACTCGTTTTCCTGGCACTATAGTGCCCTGAGGGTGCCCCCACCCTCAGGGTCCCCCTCCGCCGGGCTCTGGAGAGAGGAAGGGGTTAAACACTTACCTTTCTCCAGCGCCGGGCGGGGAGCTGTACTCCTCCTCTCCTCCTTGCTCACGACGTCATCGGCTGAATGCGCATGCGCGGCAGGAGCCGCGCGCGCATTCAGCCGGTTGCATAGGAAAGCATTTATAATGCTTTCCTACGGACGCTTGCGTGCTCTCACTGTGATTTTCACAGTGAGAAGCACGCAAGCGCCTCTAGCGGCTGTCAATGAGACAGCCACTAGAGGCTCTGGAGGCTGGATTAACCCTCAGTATAAACATAGCAGTTTCTCTGAAACTGCTATGTTTATAAAAAAAAAAAAAAGGGTTAATCCTAGAGGGACCTGGCACCCAGACCACTTCATAAAGCTGAAGTGGTCTGGGTGCCTAGAGTGGTCCTTTAATGCTGAGCAGCAATTATGCAAATGTAAACCTGGTAGCTGCCTTTGGGGTCAAAGGCCGGTTACAGCCCATTAGATCTTGAGGAGGGGTATTTAGGCCCAGTTCTCATCCTGTTCAGTGCCCTGTCGTGGTTTCCCTTGTGGTTGTCAGAGAGCGCGTTCCTGATTCTAGTTTCTTCTGGTTTTTGACTTTGGCTTTGATTTTGACTTCCCTGTATTCTGGTATCCCTGACTTCTGGCTTTCTCTTATCGTTGTGTCTCTTTCTGTATCCCCTGACCTTGGCAAGTATCCTGACTATTCTTTGGTACGTTAAGTCCAGCCATTCTAAGGCCCGGTAATACGTTACCTATTAGTCATCTGTGTGACACAATTCTACGTGCTGGATCAACTAGTAATCCTGACAGAGTGCCCTTGTGGGCTTCAATATGTGGGTAAAACAACTAGATGTGTGGCCACTAGGGTGCGAGAGCACATATATAACATCAAGAGAGAGATTAAAAGCCACAGTGTTTCCTTACACTTTTTAGAATGTCATGGAAAAGACCCCAAAGGGATAAAATTCTATGGGATTCAAAATATTACCCGTCATTGGAGAGGAGGGGACATTGATTCAGCCCTCAGTACATGTGAAATGGGCTGGATCTTCAATCTAGATACTCTATCCCTTAACGGGTTAAACTGTGACTTCGAGATGAGTGCACTGATAAAATATGCTATGTGGAAATTTAGGGAATGCATATTTGATATCTATTCAATGCTAACTATTTCTCTTCTTGTTTTTTTAGAAAAATCCTTTATAAAGTATGTCCTTAAATATATTAAAAAAGTACTTAGGAGGTATACAATAGCAAAGATTTATTTGAGAATTATGTATTTTGTATGTAGTTGTTTTAATAGTGATTCGAGTATATTTCTTCTGCACACAGACATTTTTTATAGGTATGAAATGTATTTACAACAGTTTTAAATATGGTTTGGACTTTTTAACTGTAAAGGACATTTGCCAGTATTACTATATATAAGAAAAAAAAAAAAAAAAAACAATCTGGACTTTTAAAGATGGCACTGTCATGAACCACATCCGGAATCTATGCAAAGAGATGACATCAGACGGAGACATAGACGGAAGCGGAAATACGGCATTAAGTCTAGACGGAAATGAAACTAGGCGTGAAACAAAAAAAGGCGGCAAAAGACCAACTGGCGCCTAATAGAAGAGATCCGATGGGGTATATAAAGAGCAAATGGACAACCGGAAGATACACTTTGAAAAAGACCATCGGTCGAAACGCGTTAGTGTAATTGTTTCTTTTTATTGTTATATCCACTTCTATTATTTTCTATTAAAGCTAATTTTAAGCATTTTAACTCCGAACCTGCACATTATTATTTTGCTGATTCTTGGGACCAGCCGTGAAATCTGCGGAGGAGTGGACTTACATTCAAAGGGATAGCTGAGCATGCTGTTATAGTCAGAGCCTACTATACGTGGCTCTGAAAATGATGAGTTGGAATTTCACATCACTAATAAGAGTGTACCCACCATAGAGTATTATGCTTTGCATTATTTTTTATATTTAGGTGTAGTACATATAATATGAAGAACCAGTGTGAGTAACAATTCTGTTACCCCTCTGTTATCACACTTATTTTACAGTGCCCCCTATCTCTATTCTTTCTAACTATTGTTTTGTGTTTTTAAAGTGGTTTTCAAACACTGGGGATGTCCCACTAATAAGGAGAGCTACCTAGAACATTTGACCTCACTGACACTTTGTGTGTTAAGATATTTTTGTATTATCTCTTTGTCACATGCCCATTATTGACTTACTATATGCCCCTTCCTCTCCTCAATCCATCCATATCCCTTTTATAATATTATTATTAGGTCCACTCTTAATTACTTACTGGGGGGCCTTATCTAAGTATCCAGTGTGATGAGGCATCTATAGAAACTGGGTTGTAGGCAGTTCTAAACCCACTTGCCTCACAGCTTGCTTTATGTGTCCCACGCCACTGTCAGCTGTACCAGCCTTAGAACTTTCAGCTTTCAACTTCTTCATTAGTCATTATGAAGATGCCAGTTGGAGGAGTTGGGGGACTTAAAAAGGCCTCCCATTGCTTTGAGTGGCATGAGTGGGGGCCAGGAGAGTGGACACTGCCCCCCCCCCCCCCTTATTATACATTATACTTATTAGGTCCCCCACCTGCCAGCATTGGCTGGAGTCAGAGAAGGGGACACTGTTCCCCTCCTTATAATTTAAATTATCCCCACACATTATTTTCAGCTGAAATCCAGACCAAATTCAGGCCTAATCGGGACCTGAATTACAAAACCCAAACACTGATGAATTCCATCAGCAACGTCTGTATTTTGCATTCTGAATGGCCCTGTATGCAGCCAGATGGTTTTGTCCTTCAGACTTTAGTGAATAACACGGTTTGTTTTTATTGTGTGTGAGAAATATACAGTACCAAATCACAAAGCCAATATTTTTGAGCAACTACACACACGTTAAAAAAAGTGGTTCCCAAACTTTTTAGGTTCAAGACGCCCTTAATATTTCAGTATGGGTTTAATTGCCCACACCATGACACAGATACACACACTTACATAAAAACACACACCCAGAGGCACACTGTCACACATACATACACATATATATATATATATATATATATACATACATACATATATATATATATATATATACACACACACACACACACACACACACACAGATGCACACCCTGACACATACAAGTAATTTTTTTTTTTTTTTTTAATATCTCCAGCCACCCTCCTGTCAGCTTTCTTTATGCGCCAGGAGGCTGGGTTGGAGTCCGGCTGGTGGGAGTGAGGGGTCTGGAGCTCTTCGTGCTCCTCTTCCCCACGCTGCGGCTGCCGCCTCCTGCGCTGTCTCTCTGCATGATGCTGGGAGGAAGTAACAGGCTGTCATTTCCTCCCAGCTGGCAGACATTACAGGGGACCAGTCGCAGTCTTAAAGGACTGTGGCACCTGACCAGGCCCCTGTTTAGCACTAATGTTTCCCCGGTGCTATAATTATAGCACTGGGGAAACATTCCGCGGAACCCCTGTGTGCACGTCGTGGTGCCCAGGGTGCTGCGGCGCAAATTCTGGGAACCGCTGATGTAGACCTTTAAAGAAGTATACACAGACATAAAAACAAGATATTCATATAATATACATACTGAAATATCAAGCTCCAACATCAAGGTGGTTTTCTTAGCATCCTCTGCAGTTAGTTTCTCCGCATGAGTTATAGGAACTGTGAAAACCTTGTGTTCTGAATAAAGTGAAGATGGATCAACCTCCTAAATTAATTAGTAAAAGTGAGTTAGAGTAATCCAAAACAAACAAAAAAAAATAAAATAAGTTTTTGTATTTAAGACAAAATAAATATGCATGTGCAAGAAAAAAAATAAATTAAGATCAAATACATAAAGGGATACGAAAGCATAGATTATCGAGGTGAATCCCCATTTTGGTCCTTCTTTATGCTATTCCATACACAGCTTTCCTTACGTCTTCAGAGTGGCAAAGACAAACATTTATATGCTGTGAAGTTTAGAAATCTCTCCAACTATATTGGACAGGATATCGGGGGGGAAAAAAAGAAAAGGGAGCTTATTACACTAAATCCTAAGCAAGGAGCATCAGTGGTATTGATAATGCAGTGCCTCATTGGATATTACTGCTGTTAATGGAACTTGTTATTCTAACAACATGAATCAGTGATACCTAACCTTGGCACTGCAGAGTTGGCACCACTGGTCTCACTTATTTTACTGTGCGTGCTTTGGAAAAATTGGAAACAAAACATCTGCAGCACCAAGGTTAGCCGCCACCACCAACATGGACATTTCTATAATGGGTTATATTAACGTTAATAGATTATGAAAATGCTAGATTGATTAAATATTTCCTCATGACAGCAAAACATTCCACATCTTGTTTTCACTCACATGTTCTTCACAATCTGAAATAAAGACATCAAGGAATGGAGGGGAAAGAGCTGGCACATTAAGGCTACACTGAGAAAGAGAGGAAACGGAGTGGACAAGAGAAGGCTCAGCGGCCTTAGATGTCTCTAACTGAACATCTCGGTTTAATGAACAGTTTGGAAGTACGGATGTTTCAAGGTTTAAGGTCTGTATTTCCAAATCCAGATTTCCAGGTACATCAGGTGGTTTTCGGTCAACATTAGTCAAGTCCCCGGTATGTGTATCCATTTCTTGACTATCTGTTCTTAATGCAATTTCTTTCTTCAATGCAACCCACAGGCCTTCGATCCAAGGATCAACCACCACTTCCAAGCTGAAAATGAAATATGTTAGATATATTAGACTAAAAAGCAGTTTGGATAAACATTCTCTAACTACAGCTTCAAATGTAAAAAATTGTTTAATCGGCTGAAGGCATGCATTGAGATTTAAAGCACACTCTTTTCTAGAATGATTATATGAAATTAAACAATAAAGTAAGTGCAGTTCTTAAAATAACTACAAAAACAAAAAAAGTTAATTCTGACTAGTTTATATTAAAATAAATACCAAACCATCTTACCCTACACAGTCATCTGCATAACCAGTTCCATAAAACTTTTTTGCACCCAACTCCTGAAGTCTCTGGTCAATGATCTTCCCTCCGTTACAAAAGTATGTATACTCAGAGTCTCCTAAGGCTGATAACAAGTAGAGAAATAACATTCCGTATCAAAATAACATTTTCAAGTTAACGTAAAAAGATGAAAAATAATGCAATTAATTTTAGAATTTTACAGATTAAAACTTCAATATGTTTTTGAACTAGTATGTTTTATTCTTATTTTTGAAAATACTGTTCTAAAATTAAAATCTCTGGCAATATTCAGTGAGTATCTCCTAAAATTATTCCCAGTGTGAGCAAATGCTCAGTTGCCATAACAGGTAATATATATTTTTTAAAAGTAAATTTTTTTGAGTAAATGAGTCCAAGACAAAGTTGCTCTGGCAATAAAAAAAATAATTATATATATATATATATAATTTTTAGCATGTGTAGCTTTGAAATATCTATGGTAAACATGAGAAATGAGAACAATATGGGATAAGTGGGAAAATAAAAATCTTTTTTATTTGTGCGATATGTTTATATTCTTGAGAATACTCGATAAGGAAAGTTCGATGTTCTGAAGCAGGAGGACATGATACGATGGGGTTAACGAAAACTATGACGTACGCGGAAGTAAACTGCAATGTGAAAGAGGCTTGGAACACACACAGTGCCCGCCAAGATAGAAGCAGCAGTAGCACGCCGAAAAGAACAGGTGAGCGGCGTTCCCGCAATTATGGACAACGTATATAGCAGCTCTCCGAGCAGAAGAAAGAAGGTATTGCACTTTACACCCAGCTGAGGAAGCCGATTTTAAGTTGGCAAAACACGTCCTGGGGACTTTTTATATACCACCTTTATGCCCTTTTTATATATAAATGTGTATGTATTGTATTTTTACAGATTCTAATTGGCCATTGGAATTTTAAATTTACTTTTTTTCTTACAATAAATATTTGATCACATTGGGCTATTGGTTCCTGCTATATAGGAGTGTAGTCCTTAACTACATAATGCACTGGAAAAGAGCCTATAGAGTGGCTCCATATTTGTGAGTATATATATTTATATTATCTATATGATATTGGTTCTATATCATACTGCACCATATATTCTCTCTGCTTGAGCCCTAGCAACAGCGTGGGAAAGAAGTCTACTAAAGAAGGGGAAAGGTCGCCTTCACGGACCTAGGAGTTTTTACCCCTGAGCTAGGTTTATTAGCTCAGTAATATGCGAGTGGTTCCATTCAGACCTTTTGTTTTTTCATATTTGATTACAGTGTCACACTATGAGTTTATAATTTCTTTTCTAGGACACTATTTCACAATTGTGGTCTCCATTTTTTGGAGTGACAGATATTCAGACGACTCTATATCTGTATGTAGCGCTACACCTTTTTTATTCCTCACCATTCTCATGATCATTGAAACTCCACGAGGTGAGATCTTGCAAGGAGCACCAGACCAAGAGAGACTGACAGTTATTTTGTGTTTCTTCCATTTGCGAATAATCGCATCAACTGTTGTCACCTTCTCACCAAGCTGCTTGGTGATGGTCTTGTAGAGTATTCCAGCCTTGTGTAGGTCTACAATCTTGTCCCTGACATCCTTGGACAACTCTTTGATCTTGGCCATGGTGGAGAGTTTGAAATCTGATTGATTGTTTGCCTCTGTGCACAGGTGTCTTTTATACTGGTAACAAGAGGAGATTAGGATCTTTAAGAGTGCTCATAATCTCAGCTTGTTACCTATATAAAAGACACCTGGGAAGCCAGAAATCTTGCTGATTGATATGGAATCAAATACTTATTTCACTCATTGACATGAAAATCAATTTAACTTTTTAGACTTGTTTTTCTGGATTTGTTTTTGTTATTCTGTCTCTCACTGTTAAAATACACCTACCACTAACATTATAGACTTATCATTTCTTTGTCAGTGGACAAACGTTCAAAATCAGCAGGGGATCAAATACTTTTTTCCCTCACTGTATCTAACCAACTATTCACTACAGTGCACTATATTGGTTATGAAACCAAGAGTCCAATGGCACCATTGACTATAGTGTAATTCTGGTAAATATGTAAAATATCAAATAGAGGATCTTTAGTGTTGCACTCATGGAACCTAGCTGACAGCATCAGGGATTAGTTCACATTCCGAGGTGGCAATAATACCACCATATACCTACATACTTACAGCATAATCAAATGCTCAGAACACTGTAAGCATTCAATTTTGAGCTCATTCAACACAGTTTTAAAAGGATAAAATCTTTGGAGCCCTATTATACTTTTTTGTCTCCAAACACGCTGTGATCGTTACTGCACTCTGTCCCCAGGCGAGGGTGAACAATTCTGGGCTCAATGCAAAATTTGTTTCTACAAGCACATCACCAGATTATTTGTTTCTACTGCTACTGTGACTTAAACCACTTCATTAATATACTTAGAAGAATTAAAGGAAGATATATTCCTGACACTATAGTTGCAAAAACAAAGTTTAGGTTCCCTGCCCCCCATTGCCTCAGTTGAAAAACGTACCTTTACTGTAGCGCCTTGCCGGTCTTGTCGCTGCTGGCCCACCCCCTGCTCTGCCTTCTTAGCGGAGATAACAAATTTGACGATCTCAGCCAATCCAATACTTTCCCATAGGAAAACTGAAAAACGCTGCGCTGCACTGTACCAATAAGCATCTCCTTATAGAGATGCAATGAATTAATTTTCATATTGAAGGATTTAACCAACCCTTCTCTATAATAAGGCTTAGGCATCTTCAGCGTCGTCATGCTTGGCATGTGGACGTATACCGCGAAGAACTAAGAAAAATTAAGTCTGTAACGAAGGGTGCGCCTCCAGTGCATGTCAGATTGAAAGCCACTAGAGACGTGCACTGGAGGTGCAAACATTTTGAGGCAAAAATGTAAACAATGCAATTGATTTTAAAATGGACTTGCTTTACACTGACCAAACAGTACTGTTTTGGTGCTTAGAGAATCCCTTGAAATTTCTATTTGCTACATATAAATTATAAAGACACTTTAATTTACTGTGAATTACAATAAAGTTTACGAACAAAGGGAATTTTCAATATATTAAAACAACATTTTTAAAGTTTTTAAGGGAAATCTGCATGGTTTACCTGGCTCTCTGCTCCACAGCAAAGAGTGCCTTACTGAGGTGGGTGTTATACTTCTGTCACTCCCTCCTCAGGTCCACCCTCTTTATCTGGTCTTTGATAATTTGCCCTGCTCAGGCACACTTTCCCAAACAGGGCAAACCTCCTCCATGATGTCATAACGCTGGCGGTGTTGGCGTCTGAATGGAGTGATGTGGTCATATACTGCCTAGCTAGCATCTGCTGAGGAATTGAGAGTCAGATATGAGAAAACCTATTTTGAAATCTTTTTTTCCCTCTAAATCTATATGTAGAGATGAAATGTTAAGCTCTTTTAAAAGAGCTAAAGTTGATGTTTTATTTCATAACAGGTTCCCTTTAAAATAAGATTTAGAAGTTAGGAGTTATGAAATTTTTTTTTGGTGTTTCAGCACTCACCTAGTAACCCATATCTCACATGAGCAAAATGATCTTCTGTTAACTCCTTGTTCTTGATTTTCTTCACAAACTTTAAGGCTTCATCAGGAGGGTCTCCAGTGCCTGTTGTAGAGACAACAACAACAACAGGATCCTTTTCTTTCTCCAAATTGAACTGTAAAACCGAACAGGGCAACTCATTAAACATATGTTTTTTGACCAAGTAAACCTACATCCACCACAAAAATAGCAAACGCATAATTAAGCCTATAAATATTCAAAATACTTTTTTATTATAAATAATGTTTTTATGCAAGTTAGGTTTATTTGTTAAAAATGTACATGCTCATGGAAGATTATTAGCAAGATAACAGCGGAAGCAAAAGGAATTTTAGAAAACATTTGTTGGTTTCTATCATGTGCTATTAGTATTTAATATGCATTCATATTTCTAGACAATACTTTTCAGGTACAGTGCTTCCAATGTTCTTTTAACCAACATTTTATATTAATGTGACTGTGTCACTTTGATTTTAAAGTAATAATTTACATCTCTCCATTTCTCCTTGGTTTTTTTTGATGTACCTTAGTTTTTTTTTTTATAAGAAAATAAAAGTAGTGTACAAGTATAAACAGAAACGCAGGCTCCCTCCCCATAAAGAGGAAACAACAAGAGGACGGTCTTAAATTAGAGGGACAAAGGTTTAAAAATATCAGGAAGTATTACTTTACTGAGAGGGTAGTGGATGCATGGAATAGCCTTCCAGCTGAAGTGGTAGAGGTTAATACAGTAAAGGAGTTTAAGCATGCGTGGGATAGGCATAAGGCTATCCTAACTATAAGATAAGGCCAGGGACTAATGAAAGCATTTAGAAAATTGGGCAGACTAGATGGGCCGAATAGTTCTCATCTGCCGTCACATTCTATGTTTCTACACCAGCTAAATGTCGATAAAACCACCTAATCCAGAAGATAGGGCATAACCCTGAGTATATCACAAACAGAGACAAATAAAGAAGAGCCAGATTGGTGAATATTATATATATATATATATATATATATATATATATATATATATATTTAAAAAAAAATAAAAACACATTACAAAAAATGGTTCTGGGTACCATAAAAAAAAAAAAAATACAAAAATGTATTGGAATTATGATTTTTTTTAAATTGAATAATATTAAAATATCCAACACACTGGATTCTGAATTTATTAAACTGCATACGATGAAACATTAATAGGTAGTTTGCCAACAAAAGGTGCTTTCTATTAACCTAGAGTGAGCAAATCTATTTGCAAACCAATGTTGTAAAAAAATAATAATTAAAAAAAAAATTATATTATATATGTATATCTTTTTCTATTCTATATATATATCTGTCTTCATTTCGCTGTAACGGGTACTGAGTCCGTAAATTAAAGTGGTTTTGGCTGATATAGGTCTATGCTACCCTAGCATAGAGGCTCCTACAGTTTCATAGAATATAAATGCTTACATACCAGAATGGTATCTTACTAAGGCATACATATAGGGGAAACACACACACCACCACCAACTTTGTTACTTGCAATGCCTCCGTGATAAAACAGATACAAGCTAAGAATAATAAGTAGCAAGAGAGGTGAGAACGGACAACAGCTCAATTAGCCTGCCCTTCAGTGGGTCCCCGCTCAGATCTCAAGCTGGTTTTAGCTCAACTTGTGCCATTACAGAGAGAACATATCTGAAGCATATCAGACTGGTCACATCTGTAGGGGCAGTCCAGATCTGAAATGCCATCAAGTTACCTCTGCATGAGAGATACAGCAACCCCAGACGATCGTTTCAACCTTCTAAGGTATCATCAGTGAGGTAAAGTCAATATCCCGCTAGGCACCGTGAGCAAGGGGTCCACGTCTGGATTGCCCTTTAAACTTAAGGAGAGAAAAAGATACAAGCTAATCTCTTACCTTGGTACTCTAAAAAGGACACCAAACAACCCTAATGTTCAAGCCTCTATATACATAAGTATACAAACGTTTACATACTTAACCCTTTAGCGACCGCGGACGTACCAGGTAATTCAGACAAAAAATGGTCGTTAACGACTTCGGACGTACCTGGTACGTCCGCAGCGATCATGATCGCTTCCAGCCACTCTGATAGTATTGCAGCGATGCCTCGATGTTGAGGCATTGTGCAATACTGGTCATTTGTGCCGGGCACCCGGAGATCACGGGTGATCGCTCCCCCCAGAGATCACTTCCGGGTTGCTCCATGTGGGTGGACGGCAGTTAAAGCAGAGCATCTGAGCCATTGGGCAGGCACCCAATGCTCTGAATGTGCTGAGTGCGTCGAGGCACGCAGTGAAGAAATAAATATTTTAAAAAATTATTTTAAATTAATAAAATAATATATTATAACCACCCTCCCTCCCCCAGCCATGTGGCTCCAAAGATGGTGCTGCCTTTCTAAAGGCAGTGCATCTTGGGGCTTCTGGAGGTGTCCCTAGCCTGCCTCATCATAGGGGCAGGCTAAGGTCATCCAACCAGAGCTTGCTTAATTAGCAATTTGTTTGCAATTACGATCCCCATTTGTCTGATCAGTTCAATATTTGTAAATATTGAATCTGATCAGTGTGGATCTTCCTCCTTCTCTTCACTTGCGTTTTGGTGGGAGAGGGAGATAGATTTGTGCTTTAGCTAGAAAGATTTAGAAATATTTAGGCAGTTTTAGGTAGGATTTGTAAAATCTTGAGACTCAAAGGCTCTTTTCAGAGCCATTAACCCCTATCTTGCCAGTGATTGTCACTGGCTCTTGCACAGCAGCACTTTTTTGCTGTCTGTGCATTTTTTTAGGGGTTCATTACTTTTTAATTTTTCTTTTTTGTGAGACCCAAAAGCTCTTTTCAGAGCTATTAACCCCTGTCCTGCCAGTGATCAGTGTATATATCACAGGCTCTTGCACAGCAGCACTTATTTTGCGGTCTGTGCATTTTTTAGGGGTTCATTTTTTTGTGACAGATCAAGAAAAGTTATTGTGATCATGTCACACGGGTCACAGTGGTGGTATAGCGCTGATGAGGCATATGCTATCCTTGCGTTAGAGTCTGACGCGTCTATGTCAGAATCTGACCCATATTTTGACCCTGCCAGGTGCTCAGATACATCATCACTAGATACAGTGTCTGCTGCTAGTGATGTATCTAGTTTTGTTGTATCTGTGCCTGCTAGTCCCCCTGCCAGAAGGAGACGTGCTGCTCCAGCTGGCAGTACTGCTGAGGAGTGGGTAGTGCCTCATCGCCAGAGGCCTGGTATCCCACCCTTCATTGCAAATCCTGGCATCAATTTGGATGTTGCAGGATTTAGCCCTCAGCAGTTTATGGAGGTGTTTCTGGGCAATGATGTATTGGGGAACATTGTCGCCCAAACTAATTTATATGCTGATCAGTACCATGCTGCAAAGCCTGAATCTTTTTTGGCAAAGCAGCAATGGGCCCCCATTGATGTGCCAGAATGTAAAAGATTCTGGGCATTGACTATGCTGATGGGCATCATAAAGAAGCCCTCCATCCGCTCCTACTGGAGCAGTAGCCCAGTTGATGTTACATTTCATGCACTTCAGCAACAACAGCCTGTGCCCCCCTAGGGAGCATCCCCAGTTTGACAGACTGTATAAAATCCACCGCCTGATTACCCACTTCGCTGCCAGGTTTGCAGAGGCTTATAAACCTGGAAGGAATATATGTGTGGATAAATCCCTGATGAAGTTTAAGGGAAGGCTGGGATTCAAGCAGTATATTCCTTCCAAGCGCTCTAGGTATGGTGTAAAGGTGTATAAGCTTGGTGATAGCGAGACTGGGTATACTCTGGCCTTCCAGGTGTACGAGGGAAAGGATGGCCACCTTGACCCTCCAGGTTGCCAAGAAGATATGGGAACCAGTGGCAAGATTGTCTGGGACCTGATATTCCCCCTGATGAACAAAGGTACCACTTGTATACACATGTCCCTTTGTTCAGGCTACTGTACTGTTTGGATACATTAGCTTGCGGTACAATAAAAAAGAACCGCGCAGGTTTCCCAGGACAACTTGCATGCACCCGGCTACGAAGGGGTGAGACCTCAGTTCTGCGCCTATAGGAGCTGTTGGCTGTTAAGTACAGAGACAAGAAGGATGTGTACCTTCTTACCACCAACCACACTGAGAGGATTGTGGAAGTCTCTGTACGTGGCAGAGCGGAGAGCACAAGGAAGCCAGTGTGCATCAAGGCCTATAACCAGTATATGGGTGGGGTTGATCTGGCAGATCAGCTGCTGCAGCCCTGCCTAATTATACGCAAGCCAAGGGCCTGGTACAAAAAAGTTGCAATCTACCTGATTGCAACCCACAACACTTTTTTGTTGTTCAAAAAAAAGCAAACCCCGGAATGCAAATGACTTTTTTACAGTTTCAGCTCCAGGTCATTTCAGGGATTTTTTACCGTGATGCACCTGCTTTACGGGCGGTGATGGAAGAGAGCAGAGTTGGAGCTACGCATTTTATTTTTAAAATTCCCCCTACTGCAGCAAAGCAGAATCCCCAAAAAAGATGTAGAGTCTGTTTTAAGAGGGGGCAGAGAAAAGATACTGTGTATCACTGTCCTGATTGCCCTGGACAGCCTGGACTCTGCATTGGGGACTGTTTCAAACGATACCACACAGTGGTCCATTTTTTGTTATTAAGGAAGCCTTGCAGAAAACAACCTGGAGTATTTTCTTGCAATAACCAACAACAGGCTCTCCTAAATCACAGTCAAAATGCAATGTGCGTGTAAAAATTTTAAATTAACAATTACCACCACGCACGTTCTCCAATGTTTTTTGGCTAAAACAGTTGCACCAAAGCACTCCATATACAATACCTCGGGGTGTCTACGTCTCAAATATATACACTTTCATGGCAATAAATAAAACTGGGGTATGTGATAAGTCCCAAGCTATGCATGGGGGGCATGAGCGTACTAAGAAGGCCTTGCAGAAAACAACCTGGAGTGTTCTTTTGCAATAACCAACAACAGGCTCTCCTAAATCTCAGTCAAAAAGCAATGTGTGTGTAAAAATGAAATGAGACAGCTACTAGAGGCTGAAAAAAGGGTTAATCCTAGCTGGACCTGGCACCCAGACCACTTCATTAAGGTGAAGTGGTCTGGGTGCCCATAGTGGTCCTTTAATTATTTTATACTATATTATACATATATTATATATGTATAATATATCTGATTATTTTATTATTCTTTTTTTTACTTTTTAAGTGTCAGGGGGGCTGCCTGACAGCTCAGACAGTCCTACTGCAGGCAGCTCCACAGACTTCTATTGATAATGGTGATTACATTGCCCTGAAGGGCCAGGGTGGCCGGAGCTGCTGCAGGGGGACTGCTCAAGTTTCGGCCAGTCCCCCTGGACCAGGCTCGCCGGTCCAGGTGAGTACAGGGGTCAAGGACCGTGCGAGGACGGCTGGGTGTACTATGCCACCCTCCGGAGTTTAGAGTCACCCTTTCAAAGACGGGATTGTACGCCAGTGGGGCGCTAGTCTTGCCGCAGCTGGCCCCACCTAGTCCTGCCTTCATGACTGAGATTACCAAATTTGAAAACCTCAGCCAATCCAATGCTCTCCTATAGTGCTATGCAGCACTGACCCAGGAAATGTCTCTAGAAAATCTAAAAAAAGAGAGAAAACCTCTCTTCCCCCGCCGACGTCGGCGCGCGCGCATTCAAACTGCCCATAGGAAAGCATTTCTCAATGCTTTCCTATGGACGTTCTGTAATTCACATCCAGCGTCGCAGAAGCACCTCTAGCGGCTGTCAGGAAGGCAACCACTAGAGGTTGGATTAACCCTGCAATGTTAACATAGCAGTTCTCTGAAACTGCTATGTTTACATTTGAAGGGTTAAAACCTGGGGGACCTGGCACCCAGACAACTTAATTGAGCTGAAGTGGTCTGGGTGACTATAGTGTCCCTTAAACCTATAGCAAGCTTGCAGATGTATCTTCATGTTCGGGTCTTGTTCAAAGCGAAGTTTCACTATAACTATGCACTTCAAATTAATATTCATTCGCACTAAGAATTAAAGATATTTACTATGTAGATCTAAATTACACATTACTATGCAGTTATGATCTAAAGGGAGAAACACAGGAAATAAAGCCAACAGCAGAAACATACAGGATATAACACCTGTTACACAATGTTCTACAGCGCTTGTCTAGGGGTATATTCACTAAGCATTGGATATAGATAAAATATATTATTTCAAATAGCTGACATGTTCCAAGTTAGCCAATTTTAAACAAACTGATCATCCGGTAATCTGTAGCTTGAACCTTGGGTAAATATAGGCAAAGTGTATTATTCCCAACAACGTGTGAAGAATGCATCCTCTTTTTTTAAATTTTCAAAAAGTGCAGATTTCAAAAGAAATTGACACTTTTATAAATTAACAGGGTTACACCCCCTTGGCTTTTAAGCAGAAAACAGGTAATGTTACTTCCTGGTTTTGTTAGCTCAATGCAGCTGATCTCAATAGGCAGCAATTGCCCAGGTCATCTGACTTATAAAGACTTCTGATTGAGCGGTATTGGGAAGTCTGTGATTGGACAGCCACAGAAAGTTTGGGCGGTGTTAGAAGGGGAGAGCTTGCAAAGGCAGCAGACAAGAGATCTACAGTTTTTGCAAGCTGTTTTAGGTATATTCACAATGAAAAATACATAATTAAATGCATGCAAGTTTTCATTTGTGGTATATTTACTAAACAGTGATTTTTATTTATTTTGTATTTGGGCAGTGGAGTGACCCTTTAACATATATATACCAGTATACCAGGAATAGTCACTGTACATAAACAGTGCAGCAGAGATCGTTAAGTGAATGGATACATGGAACTTAATAAATAGACAGGCTGTTACAGTCAAATCTAGACTTAAGTGCATGTACCAGAAGTTTTCACTGTACACCATCAGATAAAAAAAAAATAAAAAATAAAAAATCACACAGTAAGTCGCGATATATTGCACGTTAGGGTATCATAGCTATTGCCAAATGGCAACTCAGACACTTATACCCTGAATGACACACCCCTATTTAAGAGGAACAGTACATTTGTCAGGCCCAAGTCCCTCTGTCCCTCTATTCTAGGAGCTCCATATGTTTGTTGGTGTGTCTAGGTATATAACAAAAGCTCTAAGGCAATGAAACTCCCAGTAATGTGTCTTAAACCTGCAATAAATGCATTTACAGATCAGTCTGTGTAAATAAGATGCATTATTGTTCTAAATTACATTTAAGTTGCATACATTGTTACTTGTAAATAAACTGTAATTTCTCAAAGCAGTCAAGTCCCTGGCCACACCTCGAAAAATAAAATGTCCCTCTTTGTCCATCTAACATGTGAAGAGAGAGGGAGGTATGGAACGATCACTGTGAATAAATTGAACAAAGAGCATAAAGTAAGTGGATACACAAGGCCTCATAATTAAGGATGCATTTATTACTGTCAAATAGAGACTCAAAACACATGAAATCACCGATCTCAGCATGTACTGGCTGCCTGAGAGTGAAAGGAGTATGATTGCTACGAGCATTGTAGCGGAGCACTAGTCCTGACCTGGACCTTCTTCCGCTGGATCATTGATATTGGAACTCAGGAACAAGATACTGAAAAGTGAATAGCCCACCTCCTTCCCAGTAACTGGACGACACAGTTCTGGGAGTACAACTGAACTTTATTCTGCAACACACTTTTATGCACTGGCCTCTATGATTATGGTCTGCATAGAAAGAATACAGCGGTTTCAAGCATACAAGCCTTTGTGTCTTCCCCCAGACAGTAGTTCATGTAGCTGATCACAGGTAACCCGACCGTTTACCTCCGTTAATTCCTTGCCTTCAGCTGCTCAGGAGCCACTCAAGAGTGTCAAACGACCCATTTCCCCCCCAGTAACCGGACGACACACAGTCCTGGAGGCACAACACAATTTTATTGGTCACACACTACTTTTATGCATACCCATTGCAAGGGGTGGAACACACACACACACACACATATGCAGACACATCCAACAATCCTCACCCTTCCCTGAGGTCCCGTGCGGGAAGGGACTCCGTTCCCTTTGTCCCCAGGGTTCCCCACACTAACCGCCAGGGGTCTTCTTCCCAAGAGCTTCTGTGCCTGGGAGTCTAGGCACAGGAAAAAGGGACCGTCCCTTTGTCTCCCAGGCACAGAAAAGTCCACCCGCGGGAAAAGAGCTGGTCTCTTTGTCCCTCAGGCTCATGAGAGCCCGCCAAAACTCGCCAGTGGCAGGGATCCTCACCTCGCTCCCTTGATCGACTAGTCTCCGTTTGCGAGGTCCTGGTGGGAAACCCAGACAAGGGAAGCGTCTCCTTTCAGGGTATGAATGCTCCCCCTGGATGGCGTTAGTCTGTACGAATGGCGGCCACCCTGGGAAGCACTCATTAATTGTTTCCCTTGTGGTTTGTGGTTTCAGAACTTTTGTTACGAGGTGTTTGGGAAGTGTGAACATTCTATACTAACATTCTAAATGAGATATTGTGGTGGTCCCCATTCGGAAGGTGAATGAATCACCTTTGTGGGAGCGCTCCCAAACGAGCGGGCCTAACAAACGTAAATACATGTGAAAGAGAGGGGAAATCCACTAACAGACAGTAGTTCTGCCACACAGCTCCCCTTTAACCACAAGCCGTCATCGCAACGGATCGGATCAGCTTGGGGATGTCCGGGGAAGTACTCACAGATCACTTCTCCTGCTTTGTCTATCTCGACAACCCGTCAGCGTTCCCATTCTGCTTACCTGGTTGGTTTCCTATGGACGCTGGCGTCTTCTCACTGTGAAAATCACAGTGAGAAACGCGGAAGCGCCTCTAACGACTATCAAGGAGACAGCCACTAGAGGCTGGATTAACATTATTATAAACATAGCAGTTTCTCTGAAACTGGATAACCTGGATCTTCGTGCGGGGACAGGGCCAATTAGCTACTGCTTCTATCTTAGGTGGCTCGGGCTTCTGTTCCCCACACTTACCCGGTGTCCCAGGTACTATACTTTAGCCATCCACAGGTGGCACTTACTGGGCTTTAAGGTCAATTCCGCCTCTCTAATATCGTCTAGCACTGCCCCCACATGGGATCTTCCCAGGTGTCGCTGTAGATGGCTATATCATCCAAGTATGTGCACGCATACTCCTGATGGCCATCTAACAGCCGGTCTACCATCCTCTGGAAATTGTCCACAATGTTCTTCATCCCAAATGGCATTACCTTGAATTGGTATAGGTCGAATGGGTTGACGAAGGTCTACGTGGTTAGGGGGATCTACCAGTATCCTTTACACAAATCTATCGTGGTGAGGTATTGGCCTCGAGCCATCCTAATAGCTCGTTGATACAGGGCAAGCGTCTGAGACCGTCTTGTCATTGAGCCTCTGGTAATCTATACAGTCTGGTTTAGTCTCTCTTCGGGACCAGCACTACCAGGGAGACCCAAGGGCTCTGGGACGGTTCCATCACCCCTAGTCGGAGCATCTCTTGGATCTCCTGCCTCATATTCTCCCAAACCACCTCTGGGATGTTGTAATGGCACTGCGGGCATAAAAGGAGTTAAACGCCGTTTAGAGGATATTCCACTTCCAGATACACAGGCAGCTACCAAAGACACCAATCTGCCAAACAGGAAACCATACGAATGCCGTAAACAGCTGAACCTGAACCATACGAATGCTGTAAACAGCCGAATAGGAAAAACCATACAAATAGGTTTACACTCCTAGCAGTCAAACTGGAACAGCATACAATAAATCCCCCCAAGAACGAGACAAGGCTCCGTTTTGAGGGTCAAGCAGGAACAGACAGAGCTGTGGGTTTATTGTTCTTATATACACATTCTTACACATTAGTACCACCCACACGGTTTTGTAAAACAACCAATAAACACGTACAATACACTCAGACGCTCCCACACAAAATCCTCCCCTCTGCCTGTGATACAATTACCTTACACAATGGGTTAAACTAATTATCACAGGCAGAGAAATACAGTTTTTCCACATTATTCATAACTCTAAAAGTATACATCACATTCACCTAAAATTTTCTGAGTCAGCATACTCCAAATACAAACATATGTCAACATCATCCAAATTGGCCCAGTGGTTCAAAAGATAGATCGAAATCCTTTGTGACCAAATGAAGCATTGCTTTTCTACCAAAAAACAGTTCCACAGAGTTTTCTATCCTGGAGATAATTGGGAAGTAATTCAATTATCTCCAAGGACAGAGGCAAAACTCCACTGAACACATGGTAGCAAAAGACAATAAAATACATAATATATATAACTGTGCAGCTACTGCGTTAAACAGGTACATTCAACCTATCCCCAGATAGCTTAGATCTGAGCGCACATTATTACCGAATGGCGCTCAGATCACATACATACAGTTCAATCGCCATGGAGCCAAAGTCTTTCACATAGTCTTTCGGTATACGAATGGGCTCCATGGCATAGCTATCTGGGGTAACACTGTTCAAATAGGGCAAGTACTGAATGACCCGCCTTTCGTGTCTTTGCAGGGGAAAATCAAGCGTTTCAACATGGGGCCATAGTCTAAAGGCAGCAGGCGGGCAACCAGGCTCCTCCAATGCACAGTGGCGAGATTGGTCTTGTCACATCGATGTGGTATGGTGTTTGCCTCAGAGGCAGTTGGTCAGGGGTCTCTACCCTGTGGGTGTTCAGGGGGGTGCACCCAGGCAGGTTAGAGAATACCTCCCTCTTGGCTGACAGCATCAGCAGTGCTTGCAGGCGTTGCCTTTCGGTCAGCCTATCTCTGAGGCAGACCTTGTCTATGGACCTGGTCTGAACTCCGTCATCGAGGTCAGACAGGGGAAGATTGCCAAAATCTTCTGAGCCTGGAGCACATATGGCGACCACATCCTCAGTCCGCTCGTGGTAGGGTGTGAGCATTATAACGTATCGTACCAGGTGTGCTGGCCCTTCTGGGCCGCCTGGAGGTTCCCACGCACCAGGTGGGTGAGCTCTTCCAGCCTGTTCCAAAACATATGGGACGATGGGGGTCCACTCTTGCTCCCCTCCCCTCTCCCAGTGTTTGCGAACCAGATCTAGGGGCCCTCTAACCCTCCTACTGAACATCTGTGCGAAGGGAGAGAACCCTGTAGATTCCTGGGGCACCTCCCAATAGGTGAACAGGAGATGTGGCAGGAATCATTCTCAATCCTTATGAGTCTCTGCAAAGGTACAGAGCATCTGCTTCAACATGCCACTGAAGCACTCGCACAGGGCATTGGTCTGTGGGTTGTATGGGGAACTCAGGGTGGGTTTAATGCCGCACAACCTCCACAGTTAGGAAGTCATTTCAGCAGTAAAACCCAGGGAAAACCCATCCGGGAGAACACTCGGATCAGGGCTTTGGCTACAGTATCTGCCTGAATATTTTTCAGGGCGACTGCCTCAGGGTACCGAGTAGCATAGTCCACAATGATCAGGATGCATTTTATCCCAGACGGACTAGGCTTAGCCAGGGGACCTATGATGTCGACAGTTACCCTGCCGAAGGGGTCCTCAATAATGGGCTGGGGCTGGAGCTTGGCCTTGTGCCTCTCGTCCCGCTTTCCCACTCTCTGGCAGACATCACAAGACTGGCAATACCGCCGCAAGTTGTTGGAGATGCCTGGACAGAAAAAACTTTGGGCGAGTCAATGCTTAGTACTCCCAAATTCCCAGCCAGGAGAATGTCATGAGCCATCTTCAATAGCTCCCTGCGGTATTCCTTGGGCACTACCAGCAGCATAGTGGTAATATGGGCAGTTCCTCTGCCTACTTTTACCACTAAGCGATATAATAAGCCCGCTCTCAGATAAACTGTTCCCCCCCCCCTCCGCCCCCCACCCCCACCTCTGCACTAGTGGCCACCCAACTCCTATAGGTTTTGAGGGTAAGACCGGAGACCAATTCCCTCCTGGTACCGGTGGGCAGGGAGGTTCGTGGAAGGCTGGGGCAATGGGACGAGCATGGAGGGCCGGGGACAGGGGACGACTATGGGCAGCTGGGGCACGGGGACGGGTATGTGTGCCTACCTGAACCGCAGGGTGTAAGCTGTTCTGGGTGGTGCGGGCTTGCTGCCGGGTCATCACTGGGTAGGTCTCTTCCGGAACGTCGGGGAGCACATACGAGGTGGTGAGGTGGCCCAAGTCGTTGCTGAGGAGCACCTCCGCTGGTAGCTCGACATGAGCCAGACTTCTACTCTCCTCTCCTGCGCCCCAGTCAAGGTGAGCGGTAGACAGCTCCCCCGGCTACCCGGACTGTGTCGCTCCTCCCGGACTTCTCTGCCTCGGGGATGAGCTGATGTTGCACCAGGGTCAAGGTGGCTCCAGTGTCCTGCAGGCCCTGTACGGGGTGCCCATTCAACCTGACCAGCTGTCTATGGTGGTCCCAGTTGTTGGTTGCGGCTTGGAGGGGGTCCGCTTCATGCAGGATGGCCCAGGCTTCTTCTGAGTGGCCTGGGGGGTACGTGGTGGCGACCTGGTAACAGCAGGCTGCCACAGCTCATGGGGCCAGGGGGGCCACAGAGCTAACCCACCGGGGTCGGCTCCGGGACTGGCGGCAATCCCTCCTGAAGTGGCTGGGCTGATGGCAGTTGTGGCATTTGTTGCCCGCTTGGGGCGGCCCCCCTCGGTGTTGGCTCCAAGGCTGGCGGGTTTCGGGGTGGTGTGAAGGACGGCGCTGCAGTACACGCAGGGGGTGGCTGGGGAAGGGGTCGGTAGCTGTCTAAAAGGTTCTGGATGTCTAAAAGGACCCATTAATAAAAGGGAGACCACACACCAGTCATTCGGGAGACCAAAAAGAGGGTACGGATAACCGAACACAAGTAAAAGAAGTCTGCAACAAACATGTTCAGTTAATGCCCAATTTGTGTAGAAATTGTGGGTTTTTTTAAACTGTAAATGTACAAAATATTGGCAATGGTTGTCGATTTGAAAGGCAACTGATAATCTGTATGGGCACTGGCTCTGGAAAAGTGATGTTGGTCTATGCACAAAATTTGGTCACAGTGAAATGGTACATGCCTACAACAGTTGCCAAAAATATAGAATGATTAGAATGTGACATGTTACATTTTAGATTTCTAAATATCCTCAAAATTTAATTTACTAGGTTTAACAAAAAGCTTTCACTGTTCTACTCTGCATGCATTACAGCAACTTAAGAACATGTGTTCACATTTCAGTTGGGTAAAAAAAAAATTTGTAGTTTTTTGTTCTGGAAACAAGTATGTCAGAAAATCAACCACTAAAATCATTGTATCTCACGTATTGTTTGGCTTATTAAAAATACTGTCTACTGACACACACCATTACTACTAATACCTCACCTTATTCACATTTTTCAGTGAATGAATATCAGCAACAAATCCATGCGGATCTGCCTGTTGGCCTATTTCCTCAGCAATTGCTTTAGCCTGCCCTTGTTGTGTGCCATAGAGCAGCAAAAACCTCCTCTTTATTGCACCACACATAGTATAGCACCAAGTACTCTGTAGAAAGGGAATAAAAAAAAAAATAGGCTTTATTTTTTGCAAGGAAAACTGTATGTTTCTTCCACAAGTAATATTTTTTTCTCCATGCAATATTATACTGAATTGCTGTAAAAATAAATAATTGTATATTGTACACTACAGTGCAAATGTTTTAGGCAGGTGATTTAAAAAAAAAAAAAGGCTGAAAAGTAAGAAAGTTTTTAAAAATAGATATGTTAATAGTTTATTTTTTTCAACAGAGGAAAAGCAAGGCTGAGTGATCAGAAGAAAAGTATAAATCTCATCAATATTTGGTGTGACAACACTGCTAAAGCATCTATGAAGTATTGTCACCTATGGCGATTGCCTTGCACCTGACTCATGTCCCCAATGGTTTTATTATTTTTTGTATTTTTAGATGTTCCCTTAAAACGAAGAGCCAACACAAAAATGTATTTTGAATTACCACTCCCTAACTTATTTTTTATTTGCAATAATTACTATAGATACTGAACAGCTAGATTTATATTGACATTGGTTCTCATTTCCACTATCCAAAGAAACAGCATGTTAAGAATGATAACATTTTGACAATAAAAGAACATTCTGTTTCTACATTTCAAACGTACAAATGTTATATATAGATCTTTTTCTAGGTAATTTTCTGGAACTGCAACACAATATTTAGAACCTCGTAACCTTTAGAATTCTACAAGACCTCTGTTGTCTCTTGTCACCAATTATTCCATACATGTTTTGATTTATGTGAATTCATTAAACAGCTCTTGACTGACTCAATAACATAAATGCGTGTTCTGTGTCCCTTCCTGTAAAATGGATTGTTTTATACATGCTATTTCCTATATTCGCGCTTTTCTCTGTACACATGCACAACCTTTATCTAACTAATATTCACATTTACCTATTATACTTTCCTTGCCTTTATGTGACACTTTGTCACCATCTAGGATTTCAACCACAACCAATAACATACCTTCTTCATCGACTTAATCACTTTCCCTCCTTCTACATTATCTTCCTTCTACATCAAGCATGTCAAACTCGCGGCCCACAAGGACCGTCTTTGCAGCCCGGCGAGCTGCAAATACATGCTGGTGTTATAGCAGAGTAGGCACCTGCTTTCCCCATTTTGAAGGTGCCTACTCTGCTAACACTTATGTGGCCAGCGAGGGAGTGCAGTGTTCCAGCTCCTCACTGCTCCCTCGCGCGCCCCGTCTGAAGTGAAACCGGGCGCCGGAATATGACATCATATTCCGGCACCCGGCATCACTAAAACGCGCGTGGGAGCAGTGAGGAGCAGGAAAGACCCCAGGGAGATGCCCCAAATCAGCTCCATAAGATAAGGAGCAATAATGAAAATAACCATTTGATTGCTCCATACAGGATCCTGGTGTGAAAGCTCAAATCAGTTTTCTGAACACCCCCCACCCCCCTGTTATTTTAGTCTTACACATCAGTTCTTAAATAAAGCTTATACACTGCTCAGCCACAACATTGAAAGCACCTGCCAATTATTGTGTTGGAACGTGTCCTGTGGTATTTTGCACCAGGCATTAGCAACAGATACTCATTGTCCTGAAAGTTGTGAGGAGAGCCTCCATGGATCAAATTTGTTGTTCCAGCACATCCCACACATGCTTAAACGGATTGAGATCTTTGAAATTTGTAGGCCATGGCAATACCTTGAACTCTTTTTCATGTTCCTCAAACCATTCCTGAACAATTTTTGCATTGTGCATTATGCTGCTGAAAGAGGCCATCAGACATATATTGTCAGAAAGGAGGCTACCAATTTCTAGGTAGGTGGTACGTGTCAATGTAACATCCACATGAATGCCAAGTTTTCCCCTCAGACCATTGCCCAGAGCATAACATTGATCTGTTAGCCGGCCTTCTTCCCAAAGTGCAACATGCTGCCATCTCTTCCCCAGGTAAACAAAGCAGATGCACCTGGCCATCCACCTGATCTTAAAGAAAACTTATTTAGTCAGATCAGGCAACCTGTTCCCATTACTCCATGCTCCAGTTCTGATGCACATGTTCCAAGTGAAGGTGCTTTTGGCGGTGGACCATCATTGGCACTCTGACCAGTCTGCGGCAACACAGACCCATATGCAGCAAATTTGAGATACAATAGCTCTTCTGTGTCATTGGACCAGATGGGCTAGCCTTCACCCCCATGTGCTTCAATGAGACTTAACCCTGACACGGGTTTACTGGTTGTTCTTCCTTGCACCACTTTTGGTAGGTACTAACTACAGCATACCTTGAACACCACATAAGACCTGCTGTTTGGAGATGCTCTGACTCAGTTGTCTAACTAGTATTACGCACTGAATTAAAAAAAACTAACTGTTCACTTGCTGCCTAATATACCCCAACCCTTGACAGGTGCCAATGCAACAATATAATAAATGTTATTTACACCACCTCTCAGTGGTTTTAATGTTGTGGCTGATCAGCGTATTTTCTAGTTAACGACTTTTAATATCATTCATATCAAGGCAGACATTGGACTTTATGAATAGAAAACATCATGCAGAAAAATGGGTAGACAATTATTTATAATGATAAACAAAATTGAATTGCCCTGTACTCACAGTGGTTAAAGTATAGAAGGTTTCTTTTTTTCTTACTGGTGACACAACAATGAACGTTTTGGATTGAAAGTCTCCAAAAGTAGAACATAAGCCGAAGTTCAAATAAATAATTCAGTTAATAACTTTTACTTCCTAATCAGCAGACACTAAAAAAATAAATAAATAAAAAATAAATTAAAAAAAATTAGTTAACATATTACTTTTTACATTTTAACAAAGTAGCAGTAGTAACTCACAAACTTTGTTTATTTGAGCTATATGTTATACTGAAGAAAGGATTTTCAAACCAAAAAGGATCACCTTTGGAGCAATAATTTTTATTTTATTTTTTTTAAATGTTAAAGGAACACTCCAAGCACCATAACCACTGAAGCTTGTTGTGTTTGGTTATGGTCCTAGAAGCACACTGGTGTCCCCTTTTGTAAGTAGTCAAATCATTTTTGAACCGTTTGACTTCTTACCGGTGTTGGGGAAAATATTATGTATATATCTGTTTAATATGTGCTTGATTAAGGCTGTGTGTATGGGAGGTCAGGAATTAGCTTCAAAGGGAGTTTCTGTTTAGATAGCTGGAAAGATACAGCACCTGAAAGGCACCAATCACATTTGCAGATCAACTGGTCTTCAAAGGAGTCCCTATCTAGGAAAACACACCTTGGGTTAGAGGCAAAGGGATGGCTGGGAGAGTTAACACTTAAATAAAATAACAGGATAGACAACACTTTGGGCCTTGGGAAAGTAAATCACATTTACATATCAATTGAGCTGAGGAATTTGCTATTTACAACATGGGAACCAATTCCTTTAAAAATAGAAGATACTGACATCACATTAGATTAGGTTTGGTAAGACACATGCTGCACATAACATCGCACAGCACATACACAATGTAGCCAATATTATTATACACAATGTAGCAGATATTAGATAGATGGAATGTGTGGGTGTCATGAATGTATTTTAACTATAACTCTAACCTTCTTCTTCTGTAATATTTAATTGGGCAGATTCTAAGTAAAGATTTCTCTCTGGTAAGAACTATGGTGTTGGCTGTTTATTTGTAATATCGGGTAGAATACCTTAGTAGTTCTAGTCATATATTTATCTGGACAAGGGGATAAAGATATATGTTAGTTCTTGGAAGAGGTTACACAGGGATATTACATTCACTATTAAAACACAACGCAGAGTGGATTTCTCTCAAAAGGATACCAATTGGAGGTATTGGTGGTGAGAGAAGGATTATACAACAACCGGGGCTGTCGAATGCTCCCCGAATCCACTACTAATGCCATAGAGAGTCCTAAATTGCTAGGAAGGAACTCGTGCAGTTATTGATATGTGGCATAGTACATATTAAAGAAAAAGCTTAACACCAGGAATCAAAATACAAGATATTAATGCAAAAAAAAGTGTAAAAGTTTAATAAAATTGTCATACTATGACCTCATGTTCTAGTAATTTAGTTTGATTACATTTGTACACAAAAAAGGAATTCATTAGATAATTATTTTCTACCTTGGAAATTTTTGATGAATGTAGTATGTACTTTTTTAAATTCAAATTAATGAAGCATAGAAAATGTCATAGTTAAGTGCATTTTACTTTTATTATGCCGATTAACAAATTAAGATATTTACTTCCTTTAATACTGAAAAACCTGCAAGATAATGTAGGCATAATAAAATGTACTCTAGAATGTTTAGTGAATAGAAAGCTGTCTTAATAAAATACAAAAACAATAGAAATACAAGGCAGTAGCATTGTATGTCTGTATACTCATTATATATATATATATATATATACACACATACATATACATACATACATACATACATACATATATATATATATACACACACACACACCATTTTTGTAAAATAAAAATAAAATACATATGAATGAAATAATAGATGATACAATGACTGCAGGAAGTTTTTAAATATTTATTTGCATTTCAAATGCAATCAGTGACTTGAAGTGGTCATGGTGCTTGGAGTCTGTATGAGCAACATTTCACTATGAAAACGTTGCACAAAAGAAATTTAACTCCTCAGCTTCTGAATGATTTTGGCCTCATTAACATAATGTATGTTTTGCACGATCAATGGATTGCAGAATTCTATACCATAAGCCCCTCCTTAGTCATGCCCTCTCATGTCAGAAAACAGAATATGTATTCCATACTTAAAATATATTCTGTTCCCTGATATAGGCCATGGCAAAACTGCAGAAGGGTATAACTCATCCTACTCCTAAAATTGGATAGGAATATATACTATTTAAATAATAACAGAGACCCCATCCCCTACACCATAGTGAATGTCATAATACTGTTAGTTTTTGCTGCAATAAAATACATATATTTGTGTTCAGCCATGTTTTACAAGTTTAATAGTACCCCCCATGTACAGGTTTTATGGGGTATTTGAAAGCTACAGGGTCAAATATAGGGCTTTCCCCTTTTTAATTTTTACACATTGAAATTTGCCAGGTTGGTTTGCTGGACCTATGCTGCCTTTGAGACCATATGGCAGCCCATATGGCACCATACTCACAGATATTTTCATTTCCCGGATATAGGCCATGGCAGCACTACAGATGGGTATAGCTCCTCCCACTCCTCAGCTGGACAGGAAAAGCCTCCTAATAAAAGAGAGACTCCCTACCCTGTCCCCCCAGTCTTAGTTCAAAACTACAAATAACTAAAATAAGTTTTTTAAAAGGGTGGGACTGTAGTGCTGCCATGGCCTATATCCAGGAAATGAAAATATCAGTGAGCCTGGTGTAAATTTCTGTTTTCCCGGATACGCCTATGGCAGCACTACAGATGGGTTATACCAAAGTTGAAAAAGTACAAGGGAGAGAAAGAAAACAAGAACATTGAATTTTAATGCCAACAAAAATATTTTATTTACAAAATAATTATAAGACGGCAGAAAGAACACTTCTACCACATTCAGAGGTAGAAGACCTGGCCACATCCAACCGGTAGTGACGGATAAAAGGTATTAAATGAGCACCATGTTGCTGCGGAACAAATGCGGTCCAGAGAAATATTGGCTGCAGCTGCCCATGAAGAAGCCAACGATCTTGTGGAATGGGCTCGAAGACCCATTGAAACTGGAACACTCAAAGCTATGTAAGCCTGGGATTATCTATCGGCCAATGCAGGAGGAAGAGGCAGATTGACATCTGTTATATCCTGAAGGAATGATGAACAAGCTATGTGATTTCCTTATTTCCACCGTACGGTTCAGGTAAGATGATTAACAACGAACCAGATCCAGTCAATGCCATTTATCTTCTTCCTCAGAAGAAGAGTGTGGAAAAAAGGCTAGTAGAACGATACCCTGATTCCTATAAAATGGGTATACTACTTTAAGACGAAAGGTAGGAACAGTCGTAAGGATGACTTGGTCTTTTTGTAAAATTAGAAATGAGGAATTGCAAGAAAGTGCACCCAGTTCTGAGATTCTTCTTTCTGAGTGAAGTGCCACCAGAAGAACTGTTTTGATTGTCAGTGTCAGATAAATATTTTGATTCAGGTCTTTGTTTGTAAATTGGGACAGAAATCCCTCCTGAGGGATCCTCATATGCCATTTAGCCCACCTTGTAAGACCTATTGTAGAGGAAAAACTTTCCAGAAGGATCATAATCTCTCTTGCCGGAATAGAGTGGAGAGAAAGAAGAGGATGCATTTTCGACTGAATACAATGACCTCTGTCTGAGGAGAGGGAAACTTGTGCCTTTATCATGTCGAATCTCTCACACAAGTAAACCATTATCTGTGATGGATACAGCTGGCCCTTCTTGAAGTTTATTATCCAACCAAACTTCTGAAGAAATCAGAAGAACTATATCTATATGGAGAAAGAGCTGATCTTTGTTGTCTGAGAGGATCAAAATCTAGATAATGGTATATTGATTTGCCTTCCATCCGGATTTGAGCTATTAATGCAATAAGAACTTTCGAGAAATTTCTGGGAGCCGTGCTAAAACCAAAGGGAAGAGCCCGAAATTGGAAATGTGGCTGATGAATGGCGAACCTCAGAAACTTCTGGTGTGGCAGAGCAATTGGAATATGAAAATAAGCATCCCAAAGGTCTATGGAAATCAACCAGTCTCCTGGAGAGATGCTTTTGATAATGGAACTTAATGAATCCATTTTGAATTATTTTATTTATTTATTTACACACAGCTCTAGGTTCAGCTCGTGAAGATCTAATATTGGTCTCCATTCCCCTTGACATTGAAGTCTATGCTCTGATAAAGATGAAGTCTATGCTCTGATAAAGAATCTCTGTTCCTTGTAATATCCTGTATTTTATCTACATGATTTCATTCTGCATTACTTCATCCTGAATTTGCCTGAATTACATCTTACCGAAAGACTTTCCTTATCAGCTTCCAAGAATCCTGATTTGTGGCGTATTTCCTTCATTGAAGAATCTTAACTGCTTCAATTGCTGCATCACTGCATAATCTCGTAAACAACCTACATTATATTATTTTGGAATATACCTGCCTGTTTCAACCTCTGCAACTCTGCATGATCCTGTATTGCCTTATCCTAAAAGGTATTTACTTATAACTTGTTGCATTGTAAAGTATCCTGGAAATCCTTAACTACTTGGTATAACTTCAAGCCTGCTTATATACAAAAGACTTTATTCATTTACTTTCTAAAGATCTTGTTTGTGGCATATCGCTCAAACCCTGTTTTTCTCAAAGTATCCTGTTTGTGGCAGACTGCCCTTTATTCTTTATTTTCAGTAAATTTGTTATGTCTAATATGACAAATAAAGTTTTAACCAATAACCCTTGCAATCGTCTCCTCTCTGACCTGATCAGAAGCATGACAGTTATAAAGGAACGAATGGCTGGTGCCTTTTCTGGCTCTTGGGGTATCTTTGTAGCCACAAAACGATGGAGAGGAATGGTGGAAAATTCCAAAAAGTAACCATTCTTTATGATCTTTAGAACCCATTTGTCTTGCACTGTCTGAGCCCAGACCTCGAAGTTTAAAAGTCTTGCTCCCACTCCCAAGGACTGAAGGAAGTGCTTTGATTGTCTGACACTGCCACCTCGACCCGATTGTTTTTGGAGGAAGAAGATCCTCCTTTCAATAATTGGCATCTGGAGAACTCTCTACCAGGCTTGTAGCGTCTATATTCCTTATCCCGAAAGGAACGTCTGTCCTGTGGAAATTATCTTTTTGGTCATCTGTATTGAGGAAGAAAAGCTTTACACCCTTCCACTGCTCTTTTGATACATTCGTCCAGATATTTGCCAAAAAGCATATCCCCTTGGAAAGGGAGGGCACACAGGCTATTTTTTGAAGAGGTATCTGCCACCCAATTACGTAGCCAAAGAGCACGTCGTGATGCTACTGACAGGACCATGCTTCTGGAGATGGATCTCACCAGATCTATAGAAGCTTCCGATGAAAATTCAATAGCCAATTTAACTTTTTTCAAAGATTCCAACAGTCTGGATCAACTGACTCCACTTGAAATGTCTTCTTCGAGATGGTCCGTCCACTGCTTTAAGGCCCTGGAAACGGATGTCAAGGCTACGGCAGGACGAAGCCCAGAGCCAGAGGCAACATAGGCTTTGGATAAGTTAGAATCCATACGTTTATCCATGGGATCACGTAAAGTACCAGCATCATCCACTGGAAGGGTTATTGGATAATTGCTGCATCCACTTTGGAGGCAAGATCTCAAGAAACACGGTCATCAGATTTAAAAGGGTAAAGTTTAGAAAAACGACCCTGAATAGAAACTCTTTTCTCTGCTTTCTTACATTCTTGCTTAATAAGGTCTTCAATGGCCTCATGCAATAGAAAAGTAGGATTGCACTTTCTTAGGTCTGCAAAGTTCTTACTAGAAGTTGGTTCTTCCTCTCTCTTATCACTAAGGTCCAAGGTATAACGAACGGCCTTGATTAGAGCTTCAATTTTACCATTGTCTATAAAGACAGGAGAGGCCCCAGACTCTTCATCTTGAGATTAAAATTTGTCTTCTTCAAATAATGGGGGCATATATTCATCTGAGCTCAAATCAGGATATTCTTCCGGGCTAAAAGATCTAAGTCTTTTCTTTGCCATCTCAGGCTGCCGAAGACCCTCTGAAACTGCTTGATGGATGTAAGAGAGAACATCTGGATCCAGTTCTGCATGACCTGCCACTGCTTTCAGACAAGCTAAACAAAGTCTTTTCCCAAGCAGCACCTTGTCATCACAAGCTTCACATAAGGGGGTCTTATCCTTCTTTTTCTTGTATGAGGATCTGTGGGCAGAACTGAAATCTTCCATTAGAAAGATGAAATGCACTCTTTATTTGTATAGTAAATGCTGAAAATAAAGGTGACTTGCTCTGAACCTCGTGATTGCGACCTATTTTTTGAAGAATGACCGGGGGACTCCATCCTAATAGGGCAGCTAGAAAATTAAAAATAAAGTTTCTAGCAATTAAAAAAAATACCTAAATTACTAAAGGACTAAGAAAAATACTAAGTAATTTAAAAAAAAAAAAAAAAAAACACACCTTCCACAATTCCTTATCATTATAAATCAAAGAAATCACAAATATTTCACTTACCTGCAGCCAGGATAGAATATGATCACTTCATAGAGAGATAAAGGGATCCAGGTACCGATAGAGGGAAGACCAAATGGTACTTACGTCTTTAAATTGAAAAACAGGAACCCGGAAGTATAATTCCCTTGCTACTGGGGTGAGGAACACGATAGTCCGAACAACCCGGAAGTGCTGGAAAGAGGACCCGCGCATTTGGCGTGCATTCCACAATGCGTTCCAAAACCGGAGCGTGAAACACAGGAGACACCTATCTGGAAGGGAAGCTAAAAGGGGAAGAAAAAATAAAGAAAAGGCCCCCTGGTCAGGCAGAAATCTTTAAGGAACTGCCACTTACATCACCAACAGACAGGACAGGAAAGCCAAGAAGCCCAGAACATATGCAGCAGGTAGGTGTACCCATTTTTGGGAATTACCACCACAACGGGTCTGGCACATCCAGCTGCTACCTACAGGGTCACTGCAGAATATCTCCCCGGTCGCTGAGGGGAGAATCCTCCAGGGAGTCGCCCTTGGTGAGGCGCCGTGTCCTGAGGCTGAACTCCCCATGGGCAAGGGGTACAATTCGACCCGAGTAAGCCACAAAATAAAAAAAAGAGGAGGTAAAACATCCTATGTCCATGAGAAGTGGACAGGAAAAAAAGACTGAAGGGACTTAATTAATTAGGAGGTGGTTCCTATCCAATTGAGAAGGGGAGGAGCTATACCACATACATAGTGCTGTCATGGATATATCCAGGGAAATAGTAGATATACACACACATACATATATTTTAAGGCCTTGGCCTGTAGTTGTGGGAGGGGCTTGAATTCCCTTTAAAATGGCTGCCAATCCTCTCCCATCTTACCGTTGATGGTCTGGCGAGTCACCCCTCCCATCACTCTCTCTATTCATTTCACCCTTTAAAGGTGGGCCCACTTTTATTACAGGCCTACTGCTTTGTTGGTTCCGGCACACCACAAGCGAGTGGTGTAAATTTAAATATGTTTAATGGTTATAATATGTTATGTTACTTTTTCATCACGGCTATATTGCCCCAACTACAAATATATATAAAAAATATAATTCTAAGTGTATATATATATTTTGTCAAGATACGCTTATGATATCATATATATTATATATATTATATGTATAGTATATTATAAGTTAATTAAATCATCTGATTAATATATTAAACATATATAAACTTAATTCTAAGTGTATTTTCGTATTAATATATAGATGAATACCAAAATACATTATATAAAAATAATGCTAATCAGGCAGTCTCATAGACTGTTTTGCGGCCATGTGATTGTGACGTCTGTTGCGATCACATGGCCCTTAGGGGGCCGAAATGGAAGCAGGTGGACTGCTTATCCCTTGATGCAGTCGTCCCAGGCCGGGATCGCTGATCCAGGTAAGTCTGCAGGGACAGGGGAGCTCATGATTGTTAGGGTGGCGTTTAGGCTCATTAAATGCGGAGCGGCATAGTACACCCTAATGGCATTAAGGAACACTATAGGGTCAGGAACACAAACATGTATTCCTGACCCTATAGTTTAAAAAATAAATAAAATAAATAATAATCTAGCCCCCTTTACCACAAATATAGTAAAATCTTTTATTACAGTATGCTGGGGCTGGTGACTCTGCCCCTGATTTGCCTGCTTGGCTGACATTATCAGAAGTGGTGTTCTGAGATCATAATGCTTAGGTAAGCATTGGATTGGCAGAGCTTGTCAAGGAGGCAGATCAGGGGCAGAGCCAACACAAGCTAAACACAGCCCTGGCCAATCAATGCATCTCTATGGGGAAAGTTCAGTGTCTTCATGCAGAGGGTGGAAACATTGAATGGCAGTGATGCACACTGTGCAGCACTGCCCCAGGAAGCACCTCTAGTAGTCATCTGAAGAGTGGTCAGTGAAGGTATCAATAGGCTGTAATGTACACATTGCATTTTCTCTGAAAAAGCTGTTTACTGCAAAAAGCCTGAAGGGATTGATTATACTCACCAAGACAAATACAATAAGCTGTAGTTGTTCTGGTGACTATAGTGTCATGATATGGCCATAGGGTAGAACCGAATCCCCATATTTGTTTGCGGTGATAGATGATTTTAACCCCTTCAGGACGGAGTCAATAGTACACGTTCTGATCAAAACAAAATGTAAACAAAAACTGGAATTTGCACTATATATCTGTTCAACCGTTATTTACCTCTTTCATATTATATGCACCCACACTTATTATATATCATTTTGTTCAGGAGAAATAGGGCTTTCATTTCATATCAAATATTTATATATTAAACATAATTTATTATGAATAAAATAAAAAAAAAACTGTGAGAAATTTTAAATTTTTTTAAACATTTGTAGTTCCGCCTCACATTTTAGCTTTAAATGTCATAATACTGTCAGCTTTTACTGCAAAAAAAAAGCACATATTTGGATTCAGCAAAGTCTCAGGAGTACAACAATAGCCCCCATTAACAGTTTTTATGGTGTTTTGGAAAATTAAAATGTCAAATATGGCACATTCCAATTTTCAGTTTTTTAACATTGAAATTTGCCAGATCAGTAATGTTACCTTTGAGACCGTGTGGTAGCCCAGGAATGAGATTTACCCCCATGATGGCATACCATTTGCAAAAGTAGACTACCCACGGTATTGCAAGTGGGGTATGTCCAGTCTTTTATAGTAGCCACTTAGTCACAAACACTAGCCAAAGTTAGCGTTCATTTTTGTTTTTGTGTGAAAAAAGCAAAAAAACTAATATTTGGCCAGTGTTTGTAACTAAGTGGCTACTAAAAATTACTGGACATACCCCGTTTGCAATGCCTTGGGTTGTCTACTTTTGCAAATGGTATGCCATCATGGGGGTAATTCTTATTCCCGGGTGACCATACGGTCTCAAAAGGCAACATAATCAATCTGTCAAATTTCAGTGTGATAAAACTGAAATGCAAGCCTTATATTTGACTCTGTAACTTTCCAAAACACCATAAAACCTGTACAATGAGGGTACTGTTTTACTCAGGAGACTTCTCTGAACAGAAATATTAGTGTTTTAAAATGGTAACTTGTATTACAACAATAATATTGTCAGTAAAAGTGCCGTTCATGTGTGAAAAATGCAAAAAACATAACTTTTACTAAAAATATCATTGCTGAAATACAAGTTACCATTTTGAAACACTAATATTTCTGTTGCATCTAAACTTTATCCAAAATTAGGTGCCTTGTACAGAAACAAAGCCTGCCTAAGCCCTACAGTAAAGGAAAAGATTGTACAGCAAATGCTGATGCCAATCATTGATTATGGGGATGTAGTATATGCACAATTGCGGTGCTCTATAGGAGAAGGAGGATCGGGTCGCTTTCTTTTTGTATTGAGGTAGACTAAGTAAAGTGCTTGTACTGGATCGGAGCTTACAGAAAGTGGGAACAGCTGGGGAAAGCATTTTGTTCAGGTAGGGTGGGAGTTTCCCACCCTAGCTCTTAAAGCGGCACTGTCATGCCGAACTTACCTTTCCTCAATCTCTTCCTCTTCCTTCCTCTCTCAGGATCTGTTCTTCTTTTCTTCCTGTCTTCTTTAGTTTTCTTTAAAATCATAAGACAAAGTAGGGACTCTTTGCCTTATGGAGGATTCCTCCGCTTGACCAGCTCTGACCAGCGGAGGAGCAAAGTGTGCTTCATTTCCGCTGGTCAGAGCAATTTTCCCATGATCCTTACCTTCCCTCTGTGTTCCCACAATGCTTCCTGTCACTTTCCACAAAACTGCCGAATTGCGTTCTAACTGAATGACAACAGTCTGTTCGTTTCTTTTAGAACGCAATTCGGCACTTTATTCGAATCAGAATTTCATTCTAATGAATGAAACTCTGATCCTATTCATTGCTGTGGCTGCATCTTGCAGCCGTTTAGTAGATAACTCCCTAATTCCCACGGTATCAGGGAGTTATCTACTAAAAGGCTGAAAGACCTAAATTGGTCTAACAGCCAACTTTACTAATACTAAGTAAAGATTACTTAGTATTAGTAACTTAAATGCCCCTACTCGCTATACCGCGAGTAGGGGCATGTGTAGTTCTTTTGAATTTTCCCACGCTGTGTAAAATGACTCAGAGCACTCTGATTGGCTTAAACCCACCAATCAGAGTGTTCTAAGCCTAATTGCAGGGCTGGGCAAGGCTTTATAAGCCTTGACCCGCCCTGCGGAGCTCAGTATGCGGCGTGCCCTCGAAGGGCGAACTTGGATTAATTTTTTTTTGCGCTCGTTTTTTTTTTTTTTTAAAGTGCGACGGGTGTAATGGATTTTTATTTGGCCTTTTTGGGGGCTGAAGAAAGAAGATTTTAGAAAAAAGAAGACGTCAAATGGTAAGTTTAATTTTATTTTTTTTACAGGTTAGTTATTTT